GTTCATTTTCAATCTTACTCTGATCTTAGATTTTGGGAAAGATGTAGCTTCAACTGACTGACTGATATAGAAGATTTATCGTGCGCTTTCCGACTGCAGCGTATTTCGCACACGGGCCTGGCCGGAGCATTTAGTGTATTCCGAGAAGGGTGAAAGTGGTGTGTGCAACCCAAGAGGGGGTTTTTAGAGGTTGCTTATATTGATTTTTGAAATTTTTAAATTTGGAATAAATGCCGAGGTGGGTGGAGGAGGGAACTAAGGGAGCCGGGTGAGGTGGGTGTTATCAGTAACATGACAATGTCTGAAATAATATAAATATAGACGAGTGCATATTTTAACACGATACAGTTGTATATTGATCGATCAGAAGGGGATTAGCCAGTATGAGCCAGTCGGTGGTCAGACACAACCAACAACAACTTAGCGGTTTTAATCACCTGCATCACAAGTAGGTCCGTGCTGTTTCATATTGAATATATGTTGTTACCGATTAGCAATTACTATTTTATGAACAAATATCCATGCACGACGTAGTGGTTGATGTCATGTAAACTAATGCAACTGTTCAACAATTGTTAATTCATTCGTCATATTTAGATTTGTCAAGCGTGAGCATAACCGTTTATTCATCCACACTAGATAGACTAAGACTAAAGTTATGGATCTGCTGACGAAAAGGTTTTCGTCCTTAGTTCAATATGTGCATTCTTTCCGTGGACCTACTGGATGGGGATCCGAAGTTTTTCCAGTCACTATAGTATACACACGCGTCGGTGTATCCTGTAGTGGTATTTTCCACAATTTATGGGTAAGTAAGGAACTGTAGCAGCGTACTAGTTCAATTTCTATTCCGCTACCAAACTTTATTTTAAAAGCGCATGCGTGTAACCACAAACGTTAGACGTATGACGGATGACGTGTTATGCTACAACAAATATACTACTGATAATAGTTGATGTCATTGATTCGACGGGATTTGGGAATATAACATATGCCGAAACAACTCGACTTACCCTAATGGTTAGGAACGTTAGCATGGACAACCACCTGTGATAAAGGGAAGCTATATAGTTTCCGAGACAGCATATAGAACGATTCTTTTTACTTTATTTTATGCCTTAACGGTTAAGTAAAGAGATAATAATATTTCAAACACGTATTTTAAACTATTTCCATGCGAAAAATGCGAGGCTCCCAGATGTGCCACTAAGTTTTAGCCTATTTCCATTCGGACGTTTTCATAGACAACCCCCCGTGTTAAAGGGAAGCTATATAGTTTCCGAGACAGGATATAGAGCGATACTTTTACTTCTTTTATGTCTAAACGGTTAAGTAAAGAGATAATAATATTTCAAACCCGCATTTTAAGTAAAATCAATGTGAAAAATGCGAGGCTCCCAGATGTGCCACTAAGTTTTCAGGCTATTTCGATAGGGACGTTTGCATAGACAACCCCCTGTGGTAAAGGGAAGCTATAAAGTTTCCGAGACAGGATTTAGAGCGACTCTTTTTACTTTTTTTAATGCCTTAACGGTACAGTAAAGAGATAATAATATTTCAAACCCGTATTTTAAGTAAAATCAATGTGAAAAATGCGAGGCTCCCAGATGTGCCACTAAGTTTTCAGGCTATTTCGATAGGGACGTTTGCATAGACAACCCCCTGTGGTAAAGGGAAGCTATATAGTTTCTGAGACAGGATTTAGCACTTATCTTTTTACTTTATTCTATACCTAAATGGTTGAGGAAAGAGATAATAATATTTCAAACCCGTATTTTAAACTATTTCCATGCGAAACATGCGAGGCTCCCAGATGTGCCACCAAGTTTTCAGGCTATTTCCATTCGGACGTTTGTATAGACAACCCCCGTGTTAAAGGGAAGCTATAAAGTTTCCGAGACATGATATAGAGCGACTGTTTTAAAGTTATTTTATGCCTAAATGGTTCAGGAAAGAGATAATAATATTTCAAACACGTATTTTAAACTATTTCCATGCGAAAAATGCGAGGCTCCCAGATGTGCCACTAAGTTTTCAGGCTATTTCCATTCGGACGTTTGTATAGACAACCCCCCGTGTTTGAGGGAAGCTATATAGTTTCCGAGACAGGATATAGAGCGACTGTTTTAAAGTTATTTTATGCCTTAATGGTTGAGGAAAGAGATAATAATATTTCAAACCCGTATTTTAAACTATTTCCATGCGAAACATGCGAGGCTCCCAGATGTGCCACTAAGTTTTCAGGCTATTTCCATTCGGACGTTTGTATAGACAACCCCCCGTGTTAAAGGGAAGCTATAAAGTTTCCGAGACAGGATATAGAGCGACTGTTTTAAAGTTATTTTATGCTTAAATGGTTCAGGAAAGAGATTATAATATTTCAAACCCGTATTTTAAACTATTTCCATGCGAAAAATGCGAGGCTCCCAGATGTGCCACTAAGTTTTCAGGCTATTTCGATAGGGACGTTTGCATAGACAACCCCCTGTGGTAAAGGAAAGCTATAAAGTTTCTGAGACAGGATTTAGAGCGACTCTTTTTACTTTATTTTATGCCTTAATGGTACAGTAAAGAGATAATACTATTTCAAACACGTATTTTAAGTAATTTCGATGCGAAAAATGCGAGGCTCCCAGATGTGCCACTTAGTTTTAGTCTATTTCCATAAGGACGTTTGTATAGATATCCTCCCGTGTGTGAGGGAAGCTATATAATTTCCAAGAAGGGGTATAGAGCGACTCCTTTTAAGTAATGTTATGCCTAAATGGTTAAGGAATGAGATAATAATATTTCAAACACGTCTTTTAAACTATTTCCATGCGAAAAATGCGAGGCTCCAAGATGTGCCACTAAGTTTTCAGGCTATTTCCATAGTGACGTTTGGATAGAGAATACCCCGTGTTAAAGGGAAGAAATATAGTTTCCGAGACAAGTTGTAGAGCGAAATGAATAACAACATGCATAAGATCAATTTTACAGGTTGGGAGTTATGCAGAAGAAGCATATGATGTGACTGTAATTCTTTTGACTTTACTACTAAGATAATTGTGTTTACCCTTGGAAATATATTTCTTTACCAATGTGTTGTATTTAACTTAGATTTTATGGGTAATTTTGCAACCATGTTTCTTATTTTTTTCCAATGAAACTTTGATCATTGGTAATATTACATAACATTTGTAAAAGACGGGCATACAAAAGAACTACACAAAGGTCAAAATACTGATCCTATGAATCATATTATATATAGTAGCTTAAATCGATGTTATGCTCAGTTGGTTTATAAGATTATTTGATGAGAAACAAATGCATTATAACACAAGAACACACTGATATGTATCTTAATTATCTATATGGCTACTTTACCTGTTTCATTCGGCACGCTTGATGATATAATAGGTGGAACTATTTGAAGATGATATTGTATAATGTAAATGTATTCCCAGCCGGAAGTAAAGAAAGTGTCGTCTGTTACAGACAGCTTGCAGATTAATTATCCAGCCGTCCTCGTCTTTATCAGTTAGGAGGTGGGAAATTTGTTCATGTGGACCTTCGCTGAAGGGATTTGTTCCGGGGCCGCGCTGCAGTTTATTTGGAGATGTGGTATCAGATTACAAAAGTGCTGTCATCAGTTGGCCTTGACGTGTTGACGGGAGACTGGCGTTGAGCAGCCGGCGGGGTGTGTGTTCTTATTTAGGATGACCCAGAGCTGAGAAATAGAATAAAAACGCATAATTTAATTCAATAGAAAAACACTGGAACATGCATGCTGAAACAGAACAGTGAACTAAAATGTACCTAAATATAGGTGGCTAGAGGGGTTGGTGGTGGGGAAATTAAAGGAAACATAATTCAGGAGCTCTTAACCGTTTGGAGAATATTTTTAAAAGAGTTCAATTTAACTATAAACCTCCACAGTTTAAACTTTCTTGGTCAAACACCTCTCACGGTATTTACTTTCGAAACAAGAATATTATATGGACAGGGTGTTATATACTACCTAGTATGCACTAGACAAATACTGTAACATGTGAATAAGAATAATATATGTGAATAAGTACTATAATAAGACTAACAAATGTTATAAATGCTTTGGGAAAAGCCTGTGTAAGTCTATGTCTCCTGACCCCCCCCCCCCCCCCCCCCCCCCCCCACCCCCCCCCGTTGGATTCATCTAGACTTGCCCACAATGAGTATAGAATTACAAGGAGCCATATACTATAGTAGCCTGTATACAATACTTCTAATGCATACCAAAAATGCAAAACTAAATTCCAGTTTATTGATTAAAAAAATTTATACTTTATCTGACCCTAACATGAACACCAATATAAACACCAGTTCCAACTGGTAAGACCTGCAAACAAAACAAAAACGAATTCAATATAATTTTTATGAATATACAATACTGATATTGATCAATCATCTTGTGTGGGGGGGACACATCACTTTCTCGTCCTCTTCAAATTATCTGATGGGGAATGAAAACCACTGACATTTAACCATATTTAATGCCTGGATTAGAATTTGAATTTTGAATTTAATGTTATACTGGATATTTAGAAAGTTATCGTGTCCATATTTAGCCCATCCAAATACACCACAACTGAAAACGCTGAAGGAAACACGAGAAGTAGTTGGTATGGAACTTGATATATACGTTGCTATACGGGAGTTATGACACACTGCTAACGAGAAGGAATATTTCCTATTTTAATGCCCAATTCCCAGTGTTTATTTTCCATGAGACAATGGCAAAGTGGAAGGTGATACTGGGAATAAAATTCCTTAAAATTCCACACTTGCTTACAAAATACACGAACGTTTTACAAACATTTTAATTTATTTCCTCTTAGTTTTGCATAAAATAATGATAGTTTACAGACTGATAAAAAGGAAAGTTTCTTCAGGTTCTGCTGTACCGCAAACAATGCAGTCTCACTGCACGCTGTGTGCTGTCACAACACGGCAGAAGTTCGATGCACTTCCGGGTTCAATTGAGAAGCAGTGCGTATGAAATAAGTGTCGTGTGCATACACAAGCCACGCCCACTTGGTTGCTGCAACGCAGTTGTTTTGTGAATTAATTTGAATTTGAACAAGATAATTTTTAAGGTAAGTGTATACCTTCAATAATTTGTGATCAGATACATGATAGAATTTGAACAAATATTTTTTAGAAGTACGCCAGTGGCAGAGACCATATACCGGTATATTGTCTCTGGTCAGTGGGGCTCAAATTTAGCAACATCATTGCGACTGATTATGTTTGTAATCATTGTATATCATAAGAGAATGGCATTAAACATTACAAATACACTGTGGTGTGAACTTTTCTGAAGCAATGTACTTTTATTTTAATGTCAACTTGTCAATATTTCAGTATTTATTCATGCACATATGTGAGGTTACAGATATTAATATACTGTATGGATAGATGTCAATGTTTCAGGTTTATATTTACAATTTTCTTGCGAAATGATAAAGATAGGAGGGGCTTAGGTACATTCAAGGTATGCTACATATGTAGATATACACTAGGGCAGGGACTGTTAACTCGGTACTTGGGTCCTGAGTAGGACCCGGGTACCCACAGTACTACCCTGACCCGTGGTTAGTCAGGTGATGTATAGTTTCAGTCTTGCTTGACAACGGTATAAGGATCTATACTGAAACGTCGCTTTTCACAGTATTAAAGAAGTTGTTATCCATAAAAATATTGTGTCTATCTTGTCATCCGTCAACTTCTAAGTAATGCCTATCAAACAAAGTCTAGATTGCCTCAGCTCTATATAAATGTATCATGTCTATACATGTATATTTAGGCCTCTTATCATTTTTTAAAACTTTTTCAAAGAATGTGTAGTCAGTTACATTACAGTAAAAATTTGTTCTTATTTAAATAGTTTTCTTGAAAATAACCTTTATCATGTGAAATGAGACAAAATGAATTTGAAGAAATAGTATGTTTAACGATTCAGCAATGGGTTATCTCCCTCCCATTAATGACCTACAATATTTTCTATAAGTATTTGGTTAGTTTCTTTTTGATGGAGACCACCATTTTGGTTTCACTAAAACTTGGAGTGTGTAATATAAAATGACAGTCGTACCTAAGATGTGTTTCGTAATATAATTTAAAAAAGAAAATTAAAATGTTTTGGGGAAATATATCTGCTTTCGCTAATTTTACCAGGTGTATATTTTGTGTGAATAAAGTATTGGTCATTGACTGATTATCGCCATTAGCTGTATATCTGTTGCTTGCGTACGGATCTTGAAAAGGACATTCTAAAAACCACTGTGGCTTATCAACACCTCTGTAGCCTCGTGGTACACTCACTGGGCTACAGATATGAAGGCTGTGAGTTCGTTCCTCGGGAATATAAAGAAAACATTTGTCATTTGATTTTACATTTCATTACATATTACAATCTGAATGAAGTTACATTAATAAAATACCCAGGACGTTATATAAAATCCCTGGGATATTACAGCAAATATGACTTGAATATCCTATGAAATCCCTGGGATATTATATAAAATCCCAGGGACATTACAACGTCCCTGTTTATGAGATTTAACCCGACTGGAAAGTAAAACCTCACAATAGGTTTTAATGCCTATAGTGAGTGAGGTTCTACGCTGCTTTTAGCAATATTTCAGCAATATCACGGTGGGGGAGGCCAGAAATGGGCTTCACACATTGTACCCATGTCGGGAATCCAACCCGGGTCTTCGGCGTGACGAGCGAACGCTTTAACCACTAGGCTACCCGACCGCCCCTTAATGCCTATAGAAAGAAGTCTCTTACTTAATAGCGATCCCAGTGAATAGGTTTATAAGTTAGATAAAACACTTTATCTCAGGTTTTTATGAGATTTAAAACCTGAATCTTTGAGATAAAACATCGGAGCTGACGCACCTCGGTTTTATCCTTTGGATTCAGGTTTTAAATCTCATAAAAAACCTTGTTTGTTTTATCCTACACATTGCTTGCGATCGAATTCAAAACCCTGCACGACCCAGGTGAACCTGTGTTGACCAAGGTATAACCAAAGTTAACCTTGGTTGACCAATGTTGGCTCATGTTTCCTGATTTACATCAAACTTTGGTTGACCTAAGTTGCCCACACCTACTGGGGTGTGGTGCTCTGGTTAGAGGCCTCAAATGACATGATCGGTGAAGAAAATTAATTTCATTTATTGATTCAATCATGAACATAAGCATTAATGAATAAAATTAACCAGGTGTTGATGGTACATGTATATGTGGATTATGATATGTACATCATGGAAATTAACCTTCAAATTGTTGATATAAATGCTTAAGAATCAGTAATGCAACTTTAATGACAATTTTGCATCTCAGTTATGTTCTGTGCATTATTTTTAATTTTCTTGTTGTTTTACATGCTTTAAATAGAAAAGGTACAATGACAGCTTAGTCGAGCAATGAAGCACTTGTTAACCTCTCTTTGTGGGCTCTTATAGCAATGGCTGTTGTGTTTCTCCTTCCCCTAGCAGCCATTATTATAACGAAGTTACATAAACACATTTCATGCATTGTATTTCGGATACTGCCCTGACGTCCCCTTGTTAACTCTGGTTAACTCAGGTTGAATCGAGTTAACCCTGCTTGCCAGATATGTGGAAACCTTGATTGACTCAGGTCACTCAAATTTTACTCATCGAACGCACATCCTGTTGTCAGCTTGTGTGACATGTGACACGCCTGGGCCAGCACATGACCAGGGCCTACTTGCACAAAGCGATCTTAGCGCTAAGATGATCGTAACTCCAATACTTTAACATAGGCTTACAATAGTCTTAGCGCTAAGATCGCTTTGTGCAAGTGGGCCCTGATGTAAATTACAATCACCTGATCAGTATTGTAAGCAAAATTTATTTTTTCAAAATAATCAGTAAAATAATACCCAATGACTGAAACCATGGGAGAAAAATATTTTGAAATTCCAAAGAAAACCATCCATACCCAATATGGAAGTGTAAAAGAGTCAATTTCATGAAGAGTGATTTTCCATGGAAGAAAATAGCTTTCAATTGTCATTGATATTATTCTATTTGTGAAGATTTGATGACAACAAATTTAACAACTGACAAAAATACCAGGTGATTAATTATGTATTTGTAGCAGTGTGTGTGTGTGTGGATCGCTGAATGATGTGACAACACGGCTACGGGTGCGATTCGTTTTATTGGATGACAAGTATGTGTTTTACTTTTACAACCTGAAATGCACAATAACACTCAATAAGAATTATGTAAAATATAACAAATAAAATGAGAACATGATACGTCATTAGAATTACATTGTACATATATACATTATACATATGTTAAGGATATGCATACGTCAAATCAACACACTTGTGTCTTGTAAAACATGCCAAAACATGATACGATATTAGAATTATGTTATACAGATATATAGGATATGCATACGTCAAATCAACACACTTCTTATGTCATGTAAAACATAATATATATTTATATATATATATATTTATATATATATATATATATATATATATATATATATATATATATATATATATATATGCCAGAACATGATACGATATTAGAATCATGTTATACAGATATATAGGATATGCATACGTCAAATCAACACACTTCTTATGTCATGTAAAACATAATATATATTTATATATATTTATATATATATATATATATTTATATATATATATATATATATATATATATATATATATATATATATATATATATATATATGCCAGAACATGATACGATATTAGAATCATGTTATACAGATATATAGGATATGCATACGTCAAATCAACACACTTCTTATGTCACGTAAAACTTAATCAATAGATAAACCTCATTGTAAATACATATATTATTATGTGATGATAAGTAAACATACCAGAAGTATGGCCTCCAGGTGTAGGTTAATTTTAATATCCCACGACTACATGGCCAGGGCTACAGTGACATCAAAATACCTACAAATATGGAAATGATTCTAAATGTACAATAAAACTAGCTTCCCTACACAATGCTCATGCACGTGTGGACATTATTATCAAATTACATACATAGTTACAGATCTGTACATAGAACTATCATAAAACACAACTAAACATCCTTAAACTATCATAAATGTCCACACACTTACAATACATTTAACACATATATGATAATAGCCTCATAAACATCTTCAAATAACACCCTGTCCAGGAGAATCAGCCATTGACTGAATCTCTCACACATCATAAGAAATATCTTATTTAACCGATTTATATAATCTTATTTATGAAATTATATATATAATATATATACATATATGTTTACATATTTAATTAGAAACATACCTTGACAGTAAAAAATCTGTAAAACGTGCCCTATTGCTGTCGTCTGTCAGTGACTTGTCTGTGTAGTGACTGAGGTGCAAGTGAGGGTTAAAAAGCATGCAAAGCTGACCCCAAGAAGAACAATGGGGTCAGCCACTCAGCCAGAACATTTGCCCTTGCTGACACAATGGAGCTGATAGGGTAGTGACTGACCCAAGCTTGACTAAGTTAAAAGGTGTAGTATCACCTCTTTATTAAAATCCTTGAAACCCATACTGCCAACTAATACTTAATACTAATATTAATAATAATACTAATAACTAATGCTAATATTAATACTAACTACACTATGTAATATATACACTATATCCTAATACTGACACTAATAACTAATGCTAATATTAATTCTAACTACACTATGTACTATATACTCTATATACTAATACTGACACTAATAACTAATGCTAATATTAATACTAATACTAACTACACTATGTACTATATACACTATATACTTATACTGACACTTATAACTAAAACTGTAAATAGATCGAACATTAAATTACAGACACATATCATTGTAATAATAATCTGAACAACAAGCTAATGAGGAGATAATCCAGAATAGAAGCAAAATTATATACACATGAATCGATTAACTTTTGCAATGTACAAAAACTACATAGTTCCACATCAATTTCTGGCCAGCTTCACTTTCACTAGAGCAATCCAATTAGGACTGTCCCTCTTATAATAATAGCCGAGGGTGCTGTCTTACCCTCCATGAACGGCAAACCAATCAAATTTGGAAAATTGGCAAAATTTCCAGGGGTGATCCGAGATCAACACCTCACCTGGAGCAAACATGTAGAATATGTAGAAAACAGACATCAAAAGACTAACATATTGCAGGCAGTTTCAGGCACATCTTGGCGTACCTTGAGAGACACTCAGCCGGACCTCTACAAACACTTATCAGATCAAAATTAGACTATGGTTGTGAGGCCTTTCACTCAGTATCAAATACTGTCTTGAGCCGCCTCAATACTGTCTTGAGAAGTGACGTTTTTCCTGCCTTTTTGAACATAGGAGCTGAAGAGCTACATGTGCTATTAGGGGAAGAACTAGTTGTGTGTAGTTGACAGCGAAGAGGACTTCTGTTGAAAATCTGAAGATTTTGTTATAGTGTGTCTGCAGCCAAAATACAGGATTTATGGCTATGATGTAATAGAGGTAGTATTCTTAGAATTATTAACAATAATAACTATTGTATTTTCCACAAAGTTATATCCAGACATGAGTGAGTGGGTATGGTTTTACGCCGCTTTTAGCAATATTCCAGCAATATCACGGTGGAGGACACCAGAAATGGGCTTCACATATTGTACCCATGTCGGGAATCGAACCCAGGTCTTCAGCATGACGAGTGAACGCTTTAACCACTAGGCTACCCGACCGCCCCTCCAGACATGAATTTACACACTTTGTGAAACTGCTAATATCTCAGTAGCTTAAAACGTTTACTGGAGCCTTGATAGATGCTCTGATAATTTGAAGCCATTCAGTAATATGGAAATGAATACAGCTAGGAATTGTTTTGAATCATTTTATTGTTTATATTTGCTGCAGTATATTCATTAATAAATTACCACCACAGGACAACAGCTGGCAAGGATGGATATATCTGGCATGAGTCCAACTCGTAGTTTCAACAACCCTGACTCTGCAAGAGGGGAGGACTACCACCCGCAGTGAGTTGAAGTGATCCTATGGGAGAATCAATCCTCCCTTTCTCAGTGTAGACATTCGCTTCCTACATTTTGGGAAAAAATCAAACAAATTACCCGTGAAGATCTGGGTTAGAATAGGTTTTCAGCAACCCATATTTGCCATAAAAGCCGACTACTCTTGTCATAAGAGGCGACTCACAGGATCTGGTGATCAGGATTGCTGACTTGGCTGATGCATTTCATCGTATCCCATTTGCGTGGATTGATGCTCATGATGTCAATCACTGGATTGTCTGGTCCAGACTCGATTATTCACGAACTGCCGTCATATAGCTGGAATATTGCTGAGTTTGGTGTTTAGTAAACAAACAAACGAACAAAAAACAAATTCCCGAATGATACAGTGGCTGAGCAATGGACAACATGGCTGCAAATATGATCTTCCACCTTTACAGGACAATGAAGCAGTTTAGTGGTTAAAGCATTTCATCACCTTGCTGTTATAGCATTCACATGCCATGACACAGGTCAAGGTTTTAAAAAAGAACATACACGGGCTGGAACGAGTCCAAATCTACTACCCGGGTACCCACTGCCCCATTACCCACTGTAGGTGTCAAGAGATAGGTACAAAATGTCTGATTGGGAATAGTTTGACCATAGCCCTGGCGCAATGTTTTTAGATACGCATATAAAATGATCTGGTCATGCATACACTTAAGTTGAATGACATTTTATCCTTATTCAAACATGGATACCCTGGGTAGGGTCGGGTAATAGGGTGGTGGGTACCAGGGTAGTAAATTTGGACTCGTCCCAGCCCTATCCTGTTGGTACCTGGGTCCTTCTCAGTACCCACCCGACACGAGTACCTGAGTGACCCGTCCCAGCCCTAGAACATACTCGCTCGTTTCACTTTCAATAGTTGCTTGTGTTGTGTTTTGTCAGAGATGGGCCTATTAAGATCCAGAATCCTCACATAGCGACCATGGAAGAAGACTATCTCTACCATATTGCTCTTGGTGACAAGACACATGACCTTCATGAGATGTTCAATGATGTCAAGGTCAGTTATCAGAATTTTCAAAAGTTTTCAGACTAAGCATTCAGCTCAAGTTGTAACTTGTTTGACTGTTTATTAGGTATATAGAAGTAACTATATCACACAAGTGTGTTTTGGGATGGTAAATATCCTGTATTAGGAATAAACACTGCATTTACCAAGCATTATTAACTGCATTGAACTGGTGATCTTTCAGTTGGAAGAATTGATTGATGATTGTTCGTTGTTTAACGCCGCACACAGCAATATTCCAACTATATGACGGCGGTCTGTAAATAATTGAGTCTGGACCAGACAATCCAGTGATTGGCAACATGAGCATCAATCCACACAATTGGGATCTATGACAAGCATCAACCAAGTCAGCGAGCCTGACCACCTGATCCCATTAGTCGTCTCTTACGACAAGCATAGTCCCCTTTTACAGAAAGCATGGGTTGCTGAAGACCTATTCTGCCCTGGATCTTCACGGGTCTCAGTTTGAAGAAGAAAATTACATATTGTATTCACTGATGATATTCAGATACTATTATTTGTCCACTAAATATGGTTTCTATTTCAGAATATCCTTCAGAGTAGAAATTCAATTTGCTAATGTTTAGAGTGTTTGAAATCAATGCTACTTCTGTTGGCAGGCATGGATAGCCACTGCGTTCAGTCTCTACAAAGTTGTTTCCCTTAATTGTGCTAGGATCTGCTGATTATAGAGGTTTGAATTCCAGATTTGACCCAATTACCCGGTATGATCCCTGGTCTGTCAGCACCCTGCATGTGCTCATGGGTTTCACAAAAATGATAAGGATCTGTGTCACATTTATCTGACTAGCTGTGAAATGAATGATTAATTTTGAAGCACTACTAAACTCAACTGCTCCCTTGCTTCTCTTGTAGTTTGTATGCTTTGGAGGCTCACCGACCAGAATGCTGAAGTTTGCAGAATTTATGAAGGAGCAGCTTCGTATCAAAATACCTGCCGGGATGACACTATACAACATCGCCAATGGGTCTGACAGATATGTCATCTACAAGACAGGGCCAGTGTTGTCTGTTAGTGTGAGTATACTCTAAACTGTGACATATTCCATCGACAAGACAGGGCCTGTGTTGACAGTTATAGTGAGTATACTCTAAACTGTGACATATTCTATCGACAAGACAGGGCCTATGTTGACAGTTAGTGTGAGTATACTCTAGTCTGTGACTGATGTTACATGCAAGTCAAGGCCTGTGTTGTCTGTTAGTGTAAGTATTCTCTAGGCTATGCCAGGTGTAGTATACAGGACAAGGCTGAGGTGTCTGTTAGTGTGAGCATACTTTAGGCTGGGATAGATGTCATGTCTGTAAGTGTGAGTATACTCTAGGCTGGGACAGATGTCATGTCTGTAAGTGTGAGTATACTCTAGGCTGTGCCAGATGTCATGTCTGTAAGTGTGAGTATACTCTAGGCTGTGCCAGATGTCTTGTCTGTAAGTGTGAGTATACTCTAGGCTGTGCCAGATGTCATGCCTGTTAGTGTGAGTATACTCTAGGCTGTGCCAGATGTCATGTCTGTAAGTGTGAGTATACTCTAGGCTGGGACAGATGTCTTGTCTGTAAGTGTGAGTATACTCTAGGCTGAGACAGATGTCTTGTCTGTAAGTGTGAGTATACTCTAGGCTGGGACAGATGTCATGTCTGTAAGTGTGAGTATACTCTAGGCTGGGACAGATGTCATGTCTGTTAGTGTGAGTATACTCTAGGCTGGGACAGATGTCTTGTATGTTAGTGTGAGTATACTCTAGGCTGGGACAGATGTCTTGTCTGTAAGTGTGAGTATACTCTAGGCTGTGACAGATGTCCTGTCTGTAAGTGTGAGTATACTCTAGGCTGTGCCAGATGTCATGTCTGTAAGTGTGAGTATACTCTAGGCTGGGACAGATGTCTTGTCTGTAAGTGTGAGTATAATCTAGGCTGGGACAGATGTCATGTCTGTAAGTGTGAGTATACTCTAGGCTGTGCCAGATGTCATGTCTGTTAGTGTGAGTTTACTCTAGGCTGGGACAGATGTCTTGTATGTTAGTGTGAGTATACTCTAGGCTGGGACAGATGTCTTGTCTGTAAGTGTGAGTATACTCTAGGCTGTGACAGATGTCCTGTCTGTAAGTGTGAGTATACTCTAGGCTGTGCCAGATGTCATGTCTGTAAGTGTGAGTATACTCTAGGCTGGGACAGATGTCTTGTCTGTAAGTGTGAGTATACTCTAGGCTGGGACAGATGTCTTGTATGTTAGTGTGAGTATACTCTAGGCTGGGACAGATGTCTTGTCTGTAAGTGTGAGTATACTCTAGGCTGGGACAGATGTCTTGTCTGTAAGTGTGAGTATACTCTAGGCTGTGCCAGATGTCATGTCTGTTAGTGTGAGTATACTCTAGGCTGGGACAGATGTCTTGTATGTTAGTGTGAGTATACTCTAGGCTGGGACAGATGTCTTGTTTGTTAGTGTGAGTATACTCTAGGCTGTGCCAGATGTCATGTGTGTTGGTGTGTCTATACTCTAGGATGTGCCAGATGTCATACCTGTTAGTGTGAGTATGCTCTAGGCTGTGCCAGATGTCATGTCTGTAAGTGTGAGTATACTCTAGGCTGGGCCAGATGTCATGTGTGTTGGTGTGTCTATACTCTAGGCTGTGCCAGATGACATGCCTGTTAGTGTGAGTATACTCTAGGCTGTGCCAGATGTCATGTCTGTAAGTGTGAGTATACTCTAGGCTGTGCCAGATGTCATGTCTGTAAGTGTGAGTATACTCTAGGCTGTGCCAGATGTCATGTCTGTAAGTGTGAGTATACTCTAGGCTGTGCCAGATGTCATGCCTGTTAGTGTGAGTATACTCTAGGCTTTGCCAGATGTCATGTCTGTAAGTGTGAGTATACTCTAGGCTGTGCCAGATGTCATGTCTGTTGGTGTGTCTATACTCTAGGCTGTGTCAGATGTCATGTCTGTTAGTGTGTCTATACTCTAGGCTGTGCCAGATGTCATGTCTGTAAGTGTGAGTATACTCTAGGTTGTGCCAGATGTCATGAACAATGAGATGCATACCCCTTTATGTTTCCATGACAGCATGGTATAGGCATCCCGTCGCTCTCCATCATCATGCATGAGATACTGAAGCTGCTGCAGCATGCTGAGTGTTCCGGGGTGACGCTGTTCCGCATCGGCACCAGCGGAGGGCTCGGTCAGTACTCCACAATAACCTTAGACACAAAACTGTCTCACTGCTAAGATGATTGTAGTGCCCATTTCTACACAGCTCTCTTACTGCTAAGATGATTGTAGCGCCCATTTCTACACAGCTCTCTTACTGCTAAGATGATTGTAGTGCCTTTTCTACACAGCTCTATTACTGCTAAGATGATTGTAGTGCCATTTCTACACAGCTCTCTTACTGCTAAGATGATTGTAGCGCCCTTTTCTACACAGCTCTCTTACTGCTAAGATGATTGTAGTGCCCATTTCTACACAGCTCTCTTACTGCTAAGATGATTGTAGCGCCCATTTCTACACAGCTCTCTTACTGCTTAGATGGTTGTAGTGCCATTTCTACACAGCTCTCTTACTGCTAAGATGATTGTAGTGCCATTTCTACACAGCTCTCTTACTGCTCAGATGATTGTAGTGCCTTTTCTACACAGCTCTATTACTGCTAAGATGATTGCAGTGCCATTTCTACACAGCTCTCTTACTGCTAAGATGATTGTAGCGCCCTTTTCTACACAGCTCTATTACTGCTAAGATGATTGTAGTGCCCATTTCTACACAGCTCTCTTACTGCTAAGATGATTGTAGCGCCCATTTCTACACAGCTCTCTTACTGCTTAGATGGTTGTAGTGCCATTTCTACACAGCTCTCTTACTGCTAAGATGATTGTAGTGCCTTTTCTACACAGCTCTATTACTGCTTAGATGGTTGTAGTGCCATTTCTACACAGCTCTCTTACTGCTAAGATGATTGTTGTGCCATTTCTACACAGCTCTCTTACTGCTAAGATGATTGTAGTGCCTTTTCTACACAGCTCTATTACTGCTAAGATGATTGTAGTGCCCATTTCTACACAGCTCTCTTACTGCTAAGATGATTGTAGCGCCCATTTCTACACAGCTCTCTTACTGCTTAGATGGTTGTAGTGCCATTTCTACACAGCTCTCTTACTGCTAAGATGATTGTTGTGCCATTTCTACACAGCTCTCTTACTGCTAAGATGATTGTAGTGCCTTTTCTACACAGCTCTATTACTGCTAAGATGATTGTAGTGCCCATTTCTACACAGCTCTCTTACTGCTAAGATGATTGTAGCGCCCATTTCTACACAGCTCTCTTACTGCTTAGATGGTTGTAGTGCCATTTCTACACAGCTCTCTTACTGCTAAGATGATTGTAGTGCCATTTCTACACAGCTCTCTTACTGCTAAGATGATTGTAGTGCCTTTTCTACACAGCTCTATTACTGCTAAGATGATTGTAGTGCCATTTCTACACAGCTCTCTTACTGCTAAGATGATTGTAGCGCCCTTTTCTACACAGCTCTATTACTGCTAAGATGATTGTAGTGCCCATTTCTACACAGCTCTCTTACTGCTAAGATGATTGTAGCGCCCATTTCTACACAGCTCTCTTACTGCTTAGATGGTTGTAGTGCCATTTCTACACAGCTCTATTACTGCTAAGATGATTGTAGTGCCTTTTCTACACAGCTCTCTTACTGCTAAGATGATTGTAGTGCCATTTCTACACAGCTCTCTTACTGCTAAGATGATTGTAGCGCCCTTTTCTACACAGCTCTATTACTGTTAAGATGATTGTAGTGCCATTTCTACACAGCTCTCTTACTGCTGAGATGATTGTAGCGCCCATTTCTACACAGCTCTATTACTGCTTAGATGATTGTAGTGCCCATTTCTACACAGCTCTCTTTCTGCTAAGATGATTGTAGCGCCCATTTCTACACAGCTCTCTTACTGCTAAGATGATTGTAGTGCCATTTCTACACAGCTCTCTTACTGCTAAGATGATTGTAGTGCCTTTTCTACACAGCTCTATTACTGCTAAGATGATTGTAGTGCCATTTCTACACAGCTCTCTTACTGCTAAGATGATTGTAGCGCCCATTTCTACACAGCTCTCTTACTGCTTAGATGGTTGTAGTGCCATTTCTACACAGCTGTCTTACTGCTAATATGATTGTAGTGCCTTTTCTACACAGCTCTATTACTGCTAAGACGATTGTAGTGCCTTTTCTACATAGATGTCTTACTGCTAAGATTATTCTGTTACAATCTGAGAATTGCTGATTGTTGTCTCTCACATTCCAATGAAATGAACAACTGGTTGTTGTTAACATGTCTTCTAAACGGTCTATAATTGTACTCGCGAATAATTTCTATAAGTCGACAATGAATAAATGTAATCAGGATAATAATGTAATTAATATATTATTTCAGTGGACAATGCTCATTATCCAATAATATACAAATATTTTTTTATTTTTTGCTGTGGAATAATTAAGTTTTCGAAAATAGGATATGCGAGGATATATCTATATTATCTATTAACATTAATTACATCATAATTCTAGTAAAAAATAACAAAAATCAAATACAGTTTCCAATGTTTGAAGATGAAGTATCTCTGATAATAAGCAAAATCTCATCACACTAAAAAAATCTCATTGCATTTGGACCAGGGAAGATTTTTCTCTCAAACATAAAATTTCCAGGATCATCCCCGGATGGGATATAGATAAATATTGCTGACTGTGACAATAAAAACATTAATGCACCAGTACCACTGATGGCTGTGTATTGGTTGGCAGGTCTGGAAGCAGGGTCCGTTGTGATCACTAGTGAGGCTGTCGATGGCAACCTCAGGCAATACATGGAGGTGGTGAGGGCTCCTCAAGAATGAAGGTCGAGTATACGACTCAAAACAAGTTGACCGACTCCGTGGTCTAGTGGTAGAGCATCTGCCCGGAGAGAGGAAGGTCCGGGGTTCGATCCCCAGCCGCGTCATACCTAAAAGACGTTAAAAGATGGTACTAGTTGTTACCATGTCTGGCGCTCGGCATTAAGGGGCTTAAACAAGGACTGGTCGGCTCAGAGACAGTATTCTGTGTCTGAGTGGGGTATTCATGTTGAACTGCAGCATGGTATCTCAGTGGGCTGGCACTATAAAATCAGCATGAGTCCGGACTAGTACCCAGTACAAGCAGCCACACACACATGCATGCACGTCGCTGTATGAGTGTAATAATGTTGAACCTGGCATTAAACCCTGTTTCACTTCAAAGAAAGTTCAAAGAACACTCACAATTGGAAGGCTGTGTGTCGCAATACCCACGACAAATTAACTATAGTCATACGAAAATATTGGGTATTCTTTAACTTCTTTTGAGTAGTGTAGTTGACAATTGCCAATGTGGAGGGATGCAGTCATAGACGATAAGTCAAATAGCCCAAAATACAGCCTTATTTAAATAGCAAGCCAAGTCATATAACATCTTTTTGATTGGAAAGCTGGAACACCAATGTTCATATTTTAAAGGGTAAAAACGTCTGACAACCATTACTACTAAATAGACAATAATGTATCCAAGGGGAATAACTCTGTCCAATGTTTATCAAATGATAATGATGAGGTGAAATTGTGTTTAACGTCGAGTCCAAGATTATTGCACTTATATAGCGGCATGCATGCACGTGTGTGTGGCTGCTTGTACTAGTCCGAACTCATGCCGATTTATAGTGCTTATGAGCCCACTGAGATACCATGCCGTTGTTTAACATGAATACCCCACTCCGTCACAGTATACTAACTCCGAGCCGACCAGTCCTTGTTTTAGCCCCTTCATACTGAACGCCAGGCAGGGTAACAACAAGTACAATCTTTTAACGTCTTTTGTTATGACAAGGCAGGGGTTTGAACCCTGGACCTTCCTCTCTCCGGTCAGATGTTTTACCACTAGACCACAGAGACGGTCCAACCAGCCATGACCTTGCCATATCGGAAATTAATATTTCCAACAAAGAAGACTGTGGAAATTAATTTCAAAATGAGACATTACAAGTTACCCTTACCCAGCTCAAGTTCTGCTATAACAGATCCAATTTATGTAATAATATCAACTATGGTACTTGATGAATTAATGTTGAAAGTTAATTAACTTGGGAGAGATAATCTGTAGTTCCTCGGGAGAGATAATCTGTAGTTCCTCAGGAGAGATAATTTGTAGTTCTTCTGGAGAGATAATCTGTAGTTCCTCAGGAGAGATAACCTGTAGTTCTGCAGGAGAGATAATATGTAGTTCCTCAGAAGAGATAACCTGTAGTTCTTCAGGAGAGATAATCTGTAGTTCCTCAGGAGAGATAATCTGTAGTTCCTCAGGAGAGACAATTTGTAGTTCCTCAGGAGAGATAATCTAGTTCCTCGGGAGAGATAATCTGTAGTTCCTCCGGAGAGATAATCTGTATTTCCTCGGGAGAGATAATTTGTAGTTCCTCGGGAGAGATAATCTGTAGTTCCTCAGGAGAGATAATCTGTAGTTCCTCGGGAGAGATAATCTGTAGTTCCTTGGGAGAGATAATCTGTAGTTCCTCGGGAGAGATAATTTGTAGTTCCTCGGGAGAGATAATCTGTAGTACCTCGGGAGAGATAATCTGTAGTTCTTCAGGAGAGATAATCTGTAGTTCCTCGGGAGAGATAATTTGTAGTTCCTCAGGAGAGATAATCTGTAGTACCTCGGGAGAGATAATCTGTAGTTCTTCAGGAGAGATAACCTGTAGTTCCTCAGGAGAGATAATTTGTAGTTCCTCGGGAGAGATAATCTGTAGTACCTCGGGAGAGATAATCTGTAGTTCTTCAGGAGAGATAACCTGTAGTTCCTCGGGAGAGATAATCTGTAGTTCCTCAGGAGAGATAATCTGTAGTTCCTCGGGAGAGATAATCTGTAGTACCTCGGGAGAGATAATCTGTAGTTCTTCAGGAGAGATAACCTGTAGTTCCTCAGGAGAGATAATTTGTAGTTCCTCGGGAGAGATAATCTGTAGTACCTCGGGAGAGATAATCTGTAGTTCTTCGGGAGAGATAACCTGTAGTTCCTCGGGAGAGATAATTTGTAGTTCCTCAGGAGAGATAATCTGTAGTTCCTCGGGAGAGATAATCTGTAGTACCTTGGGAGAGATAATCTGTAGTTCTTCAATAGAGAGAACCTGTAGTTCCTCGAGAGAGATAATTTGTAGTTCCTCAGGAGAGATAACGTGTAGTTCCTCAGGAGAGATAATATGTAGTTCCTCGGGAGAGATGATATGTAGTTCCTCGGGAGAGATAATCTGTAGTTCCTCGGGAGAGATAACCTGTAGTTCCTCGGGAGAGATAATTTGTAGTTCCTCAGGAGAGATAACGTGTAGTTCCTCAGGAGAGATAATATGTAGTTCCTCGGGAGAGATGATATGTAGTTCCTCGGGAGAGATAATCTGTAGTTCCTCGGGAGAGATAATCTGTAGTTCCTCAGGAGAGATAATTTGTAGTTCCTCGGGAGAGATAATCTGTAGTTCTTCAGGACAGATAATCAGTAGTTTTACTTCTTTATAGGACATAGGTTATATAGGGGGCAAATAACTGACACCTTGATTCCAAACAAGTTTTGTGTGATGTGACATCCTGGGTTGCACAAAATACCTTGTGTATATGATATACATTGATTCTTACACATGTCTTGTATCAGTGAGAGAAAGGTATATCACATTTAGGCTCGGACACAAGTACTAAAAGGCATCAATACCGTGATGAAATACGACCTTGATCTTGCAGGCAATCATGGGCATGGTGGTTAAGCTTCCTTCCTTCCTGGACAAGGAACTGTGTCAGGAGCTGCTGGCCATGGCGTCGGAGGACGACCATTTCCAGACCATCATCGGAAAGACCATGTGCACGCATGACTTCTATGAAGGTAAGACAATCTGTGTTCATGTTTCTGTTGTTTGATGCTGCAATATCCCAGTTATGTGGCGCCGTTTTTCATAAAATAATCAGGTCTGGACCAGATGATCCTGTGATTGACATCATGAGAACTGATCTACACAATTGAGATAGGATGACATGCATCAACCAAGTCAACAAGCCTGACCACCCGATTCCATGAGACGCCTCTTATGACAAGAATGGGTTTGCTGTTCAAGACCAATTCTTTCCCCATCTTCTCTGAGCTGGAGGTTATACCCTATACTGAGTAGGATAGACCTATTACTGTATTCGACGTAATAAGCGCCCACAGCGATATTTGCTAATATATTGGCTAGTGAACAATCCCAATTGGCACCCTTCCGATTGATCACTGTACACAAGACTTATTTTTTCGTGTATAATACGCACTCGTGCACCGGTTATATGCACCCTTAATTATGGGCAATTAAATACTGGAAAAATATATCTGTCGTACATAAACATTTCAGGCTGTCTGCAAAAACCACAAAATTTATCTTTCAACTCTGTTTTTTTCACCAAAATAATATTCTAATCAGAGCCCCCTATTTCTATTTTTGAGAGCGCCCTGGGCACTTATTACGTCGAATACGGTAACGAATATCTATCACCACTCGACACGATCTGACTTCTGTGAAGGGTAGATCCTTTGACCATGATGTGTACTTTACAAAGGTAAACTCCTGTGTAGGCCAAGAACAGGTGATCTCATTAATTTAATAGTCTAAAAATGTAAGACTGTCTGAACTGAAAACTGAGAGTGTCAACCATTGTGTCATTAGCCATAAGTCTCAGGGTGCCGTTGTAAAAAACAATCTTAGCACTACGACTGTCGTAAATCTATGTTAGGGTATGGTAGTTACGATCTCCTTAGCGCTAAGATTGCTTTGTACAACGGCAACGAAGGTGAAACTAATGTAAATTGTACAGGCTGCGGCTATGTGGGTGAAGCCAGAATGATGGGGCTTATTACGGAAGTCACTTTAATATTATTGATGTGAATCAGGAGTCCTTGTCCTTACTCCATTGTTGAAAAGTAAAGATCCCCAGGTTCTAACAACAGAAAACTTCAAGGATCCCAGGGCCCCGTTCCACAAAGTATTGACTATGTATGACTGTTGTAAATCTATGTCAAACGCATGCCAGTTTATCACCTTAGCTATATCCCAATGTAAGTTTTCATGTGTTCAGTAACTCAAGTGTCTTATTTCCTAGGTCAAGCTCGTCTGGACGGAGCGTTCTGTGACTACACCCAGGCAGACAAGATGGCGTTCCTCAGACGTATCCATGACAAGGGTATCCGCAATATTGAGATGGAGTCGCTCTGCTTTGCTGCCTACTGCCACAGGGCAAACATAAGAGGTAAACATCATTTTTACAGTCTAGTTATACGACATGGTTCTTTCCCACCATCAGAGGTGAACTATCATTGTATCATCTTCCCGAGGCAAGGGCGTTAACTGATTATAAAAGTCCAGTTTCCACCCTTGCTGAACAAGGCTGGAATTTCTGGGTTCAATCGTAGCGCCACCAGTGGCTATTAAGAGTTCTGTCCCTTCTCTGTCCCTCCTATTGACCAGTTACAAGATTCCATCACTCATACTGCTTGCATTTGCTCAACCAAATGGTGACGCCCAGTCAAGACTTTTCTTTAATCGATTATCAAGATCTATATAGTAATAAATCAGTTCTTACCCTGCTAAGTGCATCAGATCACTTGAGCACCTTGATCAAAAACATGAAAATATTTGCAAAATATCTATCGACGCCCAGTTGACGGTAAACATGCTTTGCATATCCTGCAGTCAACAGACATCTGCACGCTGAAAACCATGTTGTTGACGAACCGGATGTGTAGTTCGTTATGTGATTTTGATTGGACTATGCATAGACTCGTTAATCCAGCCAAACTGTAACTCCGCAATTCCAGCCTAGTTCGGGGGGAGACTGGACTTTTATAGTCAGTTAACTCCCTTGCCTCGAGAACATGTCATTGTATATACTGTTGTTATACAGTCTGGTTATTCCCCACCATCAGAATGGAGTGCCATTGTACATGTTTTATACAATCTTGTTATTCTCTGTGATGTGACGCCTATGTACTTTCAAATTGGTCTAGAAGTTGATCAGGGGGAGGGGGAGGGGGCTTATTGAAGCAGGACACTTTATGTGTGTTTTAAAATGAATGTAATATTCTAATTTGAGCAATTTACATGTTTGTTTTCATTCCCCATTTGAGATGAACAGCAGGTTGATAAGGAGAGACAATTTGACAAGTAACTTTCAATTCACTCCCTATATGCTTAAAAATATCAATTGTCTGTCTTGACAAGTGGTTTGTTGTGTACAAGGCCCGTGAAGATCCAGGGTAGAATGATAGGTCTTCAGCAACCCATGCTTGCCGTAAGAGGCGACTAACGGGATCAGTTGCTAAGACCCGCAGACTTGTAGGGCTTCAACAAGTACTCAAGTACTCCGGGCCGGGTCGGTTTTACTGGGACTCGAGTCCGTTATCAAGGACTCGAGTACTCGATAAGGGGAGATCACTCTGTTTCAATGTTCAATTGTTCATCAATATATTGATTAAAGCTTCAAAAAATAATGTTTGAATAATGTATTCTTTGTAGAAAGTAGATGTACATTAGAACAATTGAGAATGTCACATAAAATAGACGTAATTATAGTTTTTCCTTCCCGACTTTAAGAAATTGAATGTATCAACCCGAAGGCGATTATTGCTTCTTTGCTCCGACTCAAATGCCAAGTGTATTCCCTTACACAGATTAACAACTGATTAGCTGATATATGTGTGTTATTTCAGTGCTTACAAATAAAGCGACAGGTCAACAGTTTGGTACAGTTTGAAAACGTGACCAACTCATGAATGAATGAACTTATAGCACTACATTTCCATATTTAGCGGCCTCAGTCTTGCAGCCCAGCAGCTGTGTATACGTGTATGTCATGTGATGCACATTATCGATTTTCTTCCTGCTAATTATTGTTCCTGCTTGTTGGCAGGTGTCGAATGAAACACTGATCGTCAGAAAAAAAAACTTGGTTTGTGTTCAATATGTATTGTAGAATTTGTAGATGTGGCGTAATGTTTTTGAAGGTCGTGATTAAGATTAGTGCAGTTACAAGCAAACATTAACACTGAACACTTCCATACACTTTGACAGATAAACAAGTTCCGTGGACACTCTCTATTTACATTTCAGTGCAGTTCAATTATACTTGTAACATGTTTTAATACTTTTAGATGGCAATTTTGATCTAATGAACCAATATTCTTAAAGGACGTCCTATTTTCGGGTACTCGAGTACGAGTCGAGTTTCACCCCTCGGGTACTCGAGTCCAAAAATTTTGACTCATGGAAGCCCTACTGACTTGGTTGATGCATGTCATCGTATCCCAATTGTGTGGATCGATGCTCATGTTGTCAATCACTGGATTGTTTGGTCCAGACTCGATTACTTACAGACCACCGTCATATAGCTGGAATATTGCTCAGTGCGGCGTTAAACAACAAACAAACAAACAAACTAAGCAGGGACAAGTACAAATTTACTAACTTGGTACCTGATCCCCTGTTACCCAGCCCTCCCCGGGTACCCACTGTAAGTCGCTGGAGCCCTCGCAAAACTATTTAGATTCACATGTGATACAATGCATACATTGAAGTTGATTGAAGTTTTATCGAAATGCGAACATTAGCGACTTTACAGTGTAACCATGGAGTTCTATTGTTGTTGTCATTTACCAATATATAATGTGACTAACGTGGTCCGGGTAGTCCTTTGGGTACCGATGATCTTAGGTTCGAATCCCAGTTCGCCCCGAGTATGTTTCTAGGTTTGGCAGCACCATACCCATGCTTATGGGTTTCACCAAAGTGGTAAACGTCTGAGACCTGAATCACTTCGGGCTTTCCCCCCACATTAAGCTGTCATGCCGTGATATAACTGGAATATTGTTCAAAGTGGCGTTAAACCCAACTCACACACTCACTCTTTTGGTACTAGATCCTACTCAGGGCCTACTCGACCCGAGTACCTGAGTTACCCATCCCAGCCCTATTGTGTACACAGAAGATTCATCGGCCTGGAAAGTCACAGTGTCCATAATAATCTAATATTATTAATTTCAATGTTACATATCACCATTATGTTTGTTTTGGAGTGTATTATTTACACTCAATCTCATTAAAACCAGATCTTAGTTCTCGCTACTGCTAAACAAAGATCTAAGGACATCCCATTATGGGTCACATCAGACCGACCTTGCGCAAACTTTGACCGACCAATGGAATGACCAATCAGAAGGCAGCTTTCTCGTGCTTTACGGCGCAAATTTCAAATTGGTGACTACACTTCGAAACATATTTTGACAAATTCTCGATTACAAATTTGAAACCTGAACAAAAAAACCATTCTGGAATGGCTAATAGATGGTCTAGATTGTAAGGATTCAGTCGTTAAACCCGTAACTATCGTTAGGAATACCCCATGTTAGAGTTTTCGAGATTGCATGATTAGAAATTACATTCCAACTGTCACTTTCATAATCTGGCAAGCGACGCACTGATTGGTCGGAAGAAAGGTCGTTCAGACGTGACCCCTGATGGGATGTCTTCAGATCTTTGTTTTGCGGTGTCGAGAACTAAGGTCTGATTTTAATGAGATTGATTTACACTGAAAATTACACCAGTATACTAGTAAGTAGTTACTGTATTCTGTGTGATGTAGGAGGTTCAGGTAACCGTGTCCTCTAAGGCGCCGAATTCATTGTGTAGAGTTGCGTTCCTTAACAATGTCAGACACTGGGTTTTCAACTCCCAGTTTGCCCTGATTATGTTTCTAAGTTTGCCAGCACCAAACTCGTGCTCGTGGGTTTCACCAAAGTGGTTAACACCTGAGACCTACATCAAAGCCAGCTCTCCTCCCACATTAAGCTGACACACCGTGATATAACTGTAATACTGTTAAAGGGGCATTAACCCAACTCACTCCTCCATGTGATGTGACGTTCCAGGTGCTGTGATTTGTGTGACACTGCTGGACAGCCTGAACGGAGACCAGATCACCACGCCCCACAACGTCATGGAGGAATGGAACAACCGGCCCCAGCAGGTTGTAGCCAGACTCATCAAGAAGAAACTTGGCATCAGTGATGAGTGACACTCTATAAGACCAAGTTACTATTTAGTGTTGGATAATTCTCCTCTACAGGGAGAGGAGGTGCTTTTCAGATCAGGGCCTCGATCCACAAAGCGATCATAGCACTAGCACTCCCCTGCTTACAACAGTAGTAGCACTAATCTCGCTTTGTGGAAGAACATAATTTCCAATCTTGCCTCAAAGTGGTTGAAGCATGGGATAAATAAACTTTTTGGTGAAGTTCAGGGAGACCGATGAACACAATTCTTTAACAATCCATTACTTGGAGAGATATAAACATTTTTAATGAAACTATAATAATAATAATAATTCAGCTCCCATCATCTCCCTTTTGAAAATGTCTGAAAATAACAGTTATTTTGGTGTGTCTCATTACATGCCACATTTCCGGTGCATTATTACTTGTATTTGCCTATGTGTAAGGAGTGCTTTATACTATATGTAGTATTATATATGTGTAGTTGTGATTCGTCACAATCCACGATTGTTGGCCGGAAAAACGATAATATTTTTCGGAGTATTTTTAGAAAATCTTTGATTATATTTTTACATGGAAGATGATTTTTTCCGAGGACTACTGATTTTAAAAATGTGATTTTCACATCCCTGATACATGTGCAATGACCACATACTGTTGGCTTTTCCTATTCCTATTCAATTTGCTTAGTCTCAAACACATCGTGTTTGCTTCCCGCCAAAACTCTACAGCAAATGAATTTTTTGGGTATGAAACCAGGCTATAATTTAGGAGTATGCATTTATCATCAGCTGAATTGGTCTATTTTGCTATTTTCAAATATTTTGATTTCTCGTGTTTCACACTTTGCATCGAGTCTCCAATGATGGCAGCTGGCAATTTAATCAACTAAAATATTGACATTCAAATTTACTGTTCGCCAGCAGTGTCTTTCCATGCATACTGTTATTCTGTCACTATCTGCAACAGCTGTCCATATTTTGTATTTTGTCAATTCACAAATTCTTGTCAACAGATATTGGTGTCAGACATTTCATTATGTTGCATATAATCAGACTCTGTACTAGTATTTTTTGCTGTTATTGTTTTTCGGATTTGCAAACCGGTACTATTTAGTGTTGGATAATTCTCCTCTACAGGGAGAGGAGGTGCTTTTCAGATCAGGGCCTCGATCCACAAAGCGATCATAGCACTAGCACTCCCCTGCTTACAACAGTAGTAGCACTAATCTCGCTTTGTGGAAGAACATAATTTCCAATCTTGCCTCAAAGTGGTTGAAGCATGGGATAAATAAACTTTTTGGTGAAGTTCAGGGAGACCGATGAACACAATTCTTTAACAATCCATTACTTGGAGAGATATAAACATTTTTAATGAAACTATAATAATAATAATAATTCAGCTCCCATCATCTCCCTTTTGAAAATGTCTGAAAATAACGGTTATTTTTGTGTGTCTCATTACATGCCACATTTCCGGTGCATTATTACTTGTATTTGCCTGTGTGTAAGGAATGCTTTATACTATATGTAGTATTATATATGTGTAGTTGTGATTCGTCACAATCCACGATTGTTGGCCGGAAACACGATAATATTTTTCGGAGTATTTTTAGAAAATCTTTGATTATATTTTTACATGGAAGATGATTTTTTCCGAGGACTACTGATTTTAAAAATGTGATTTTCACATCCCTGATACATGTGCAATGACCACATACTGTTGGCTTTTCCTATTCCTATTCAATTTGCTTAGTCTCAAACACATCGTGTTTGCTTCCCGCCAAAACTCTATCTGAAAGTGTAACAGGTTTGTTTCAGGTTCAGTATTGTAATTACAAGGGTATTATTCACTCCAGGCTTTGCTAAAAACCACTCTATAATTTGCATCATAACCTTCTGAAACTAGCTCTCTGCTGCTGTATTACAGTCTGTACAAAAGCTAGGGATGTTTATCTTCATTTATCCAGTATATTATATCGCCTATTATGATAAATACCCTGGACCCATACACTTCCATGGCTTTGATTTGAGCTTGATTTGAATGGTGTGCCTCTAAAAAAAAACCATCAAATAAAATATCTCTCTTAAGCTGGGAAATTGTTTTCTATGTTAGTGATAGAAGAGACATGAAATGCTGGCAAATTGGCATTGGGTAATAACCATAAAATAATTTAAACTTATTACACTGAATAATCGCAGGTGCATCTGATAATGAGAAACACTTCAATTTGGAGAAAAGTACACACTTATGTTCTGGAACCATGTTTTACAATGCAAACCCTTCGAATAATGTACATATTATACATTGTAGAGAAACAAAACACACCAAAGCCATAATGTATTTCAAACTTTAATCCAGAAATGTGACAAATGCTCAGAGACTTGCTGTATATTAACAAATGAATGGACCAATCAAAGTGCTGGTCAGTTTTATGAGAGGTCACTGAATACCCATTCTAACTGGATGAACAAGGTAAAAACTATACAGTGCAGGTTGTCATCACTATACAGTATGGGGAGTGGGGACATACTCGGGAGTATTTTACAATGTGTATCATAACATCTGTCTGCAGTATATCTGTAGCCAGCGGGCAATACACAACATATCACACCAGTGTATAAGGTACATCAGGACTGGGAACATCACTCTTCAATGTACAACGATGGTTGGAAATATATGGTGCATCCAACAATGTGTCTCAAACATCAATATGCTAGATCATACAAGTGTAGTCGTACATGTTTGCAGTTTTTACCATTTTGCACACATGTGCCATTAGCAGGCTGAACAGAGGGCCATATGAAAAATATATATGATTTAATGCTTATATTTTCGTAAGACTATGTTAAGGCATAGAAGTTACAACAAATACAGCTATCATCATGGCCCAGTGCTTGTTATCTAGTGATGGTACATTCATTTTCAGCTCACCAAATTCTGTGCAAACTGCTCATACCACATTTTACCTTAGATTGATCCTTGCTCTGAACCTTACTGAGAACCTTTAATGTATCATAACCATACATCCCAATAACCAGTGCTCTCTGTGCAACAAGCACAGTTCTTGCAGCAATAGTTTATTTCAGCTGCTTCATATTCCAAGATTCAACACTGAAAAGATCTCGAAATGACCCATAATTTGAATCTTCCCTGTAATATTTTCTGCACATGAATTTTCTTATTTCAAACTCGGACTTCTAAAGTGAAGATCATACTACATACATGGAGTTACAATCATGTTATTAATACAAGTACTTTTCTATGATACAGATTTATTTAGAAATTCTATGATGGTCACAAGGGTTGTGCAAGTCTCCTCCTGTATTCTGATGGTGGACCTTGTACTGCTGAACAAAGCAATATGATCCTTGTCCAATCATTACAGCATATGACTTAAAAACTAGGAAAGTACAAGAATGGGGGTTGTCAAAAATGCACCATACAGTAACATTACCATAATCATATACAGTATTAAATGATTAGCACATTAAATACACAAGCATCAAAGTTGTGAAAAATATATTACACACACATTTAGCCAGCACCCGGCTAGGCTAGGAGATGAATATTCACAGACATGGAAACTAATGATCTATTGCGCACTGTTCTAATAGCAGTGCGATGGCTTCAGTTCAAACATACAACTCCCATCTTTACATACATATATATTCCACGGGATGATCATTGTTGAGGCGCATATGTTGAAATAAATAGCTTGATCCACTCATCCTTATCACATACAAAAAGACAATTCATTAAATTACAAGATTTTTTTCTAACTTTTCTTAAGGGAATGAGGCAGCATTTTATTTTGGTAGTGAAATTGAGCTATTCTGGAATGGCATTTAGCAAGTTACAGAGAAGAAAGTTGCAACAAACAGCTGTCATGGTTGTTAGTCTCAAGAGGGGCAGACTTGGGCAAACATCTTATTACTTATTCATTGTGGCCCTTTGCCACGAATACACTATTTTTAATCATATTCCTTCTGAACAGGGATAATTACATCAACAGTAATCTGATACATGAAGTGCAGTGACCAGCTTTCAATGCTAAGTTGCAGTCAAACCTGGTAGATATAGCCAGCTACGGTCATACAATTGTACACTAATGGAAGAAAATAAGGGAAAAGGCATAAAGGGATGCCTTGAAAAGCCTCTCTCCGAGCTGTGCCAGCATAAAGTGGGAGGGAAGCCAAAATGATGCCTGTTGCAGAGCTTTTCCACTAAGTGAAACCCATGAGCATTGCTATGATGCTGACAGACCAATGATAACCGGGATGATTATGTAATTCAAACCAACAATCAGTGGATCCTTGCACAGCTAAGGGACTTAACTCTACACAGCAAGTTATGTCAGACTATGACCACTTGGCTACCTGTGCCCTAAGGCACAAGGGAGCACCGGATATTAAGTTCACTCGGTCTTACTTTGTTAATCATGCTGATCTGCCATTTATACTGAAAGCAGCAGACACCCTAATCCTGCAATATTGAGATGTGTTCCCTTATTTCCTACCTTAGGCATATACCTATAAATTACAATCTTGGAAGTTTAGGTAATCCAGATTGGTTTCAGATATACATCAAGTTGGACAAGACGAAACGGGAATGAACATCTGACATAAATGTCAATTGGGATTACCATCGCTTTGAAAAATATTTCAGTTATACCATAGTGTGTCAGCGTATGTGTACGAAGCAAGCCCCAAGTGATGCTGGTCTTATACGTTTATGACTTGATGAATACGGGTATGGTGTTACAAAACTAAGAATTGTAATCGGGACGAATCTGGGGTTCAAATAAATGATCTCAGGGATGCAGCACTGCAGAGTGACTTGCTGCTGCTTAGAAGACAGGGCCATCTGTGTCACTTCCTGTAATCAGAGGCTGGTTGGACATCTTTTGTTTCGACTTATACTCATACCTTAGGCAAAATCCAAAGGCTTTCTTGAAATTTAGAAATCTATCATTTCTTCATGAAAAAATTGTTTCTGAGGCTTTAAAGAAACTAGGAATATTCCTTGTTGGTTTCATAAACATACTGTAACAATATTGACCCATAATGGTAATAAAACAGGACTTTCAATTGAGCAAAGACATATTTGTTTCCGCATTTGAGTAAAACAAGGACATGCATCAGGACTTGTAAGCATAAATTTGGACCACAAATGTCTGCAGCTCATCTACAAGTAGAGTGATATATTTTCATTTTATTGTTATCATTATATTAATATGTTTTCAATTTTTAAACCCAAATCTGATTCATTCTTCTTTAAGATGACAGCTAACCTGAACTATTTATTCATAAAATAGTGGAGTTAGTTCATTTAATCCTTAACTGAAAACACCTTAAATTTACCATGACAAAAGTAGGTTTCTTTTCAAGTTAAAAAGTGTTCTATCCAGGTGACAAAAATTACATTTCAAGGTATTAAAAGTGAAACACAAGTTTTCATGGAGGCGACTTTGCTGAGGCAGATACTGCAACAAAACTATGAAAATACAACAGTGTTCAAAACAAAGCATACAGGTCCCTTTCATATCCCAAATGTTAAAAGAACATTTTATGGGGGTCCCTAGAGCATGTGATGAAAACTATGTCAGAAAACCTTAAGGACCCTAGGCACCCCCTTATTTTTTAACACTGCATAATGAATATATAATTTCTAGCTTTAACAGTAGTTATATGCCTTATGAGGGGTTGGGTTGAGGTATGTAGTGAAGTAAATAATAACGAATGCTCAAAAGACATGATTCATGTTGTACACATTAAGGCTTACCATTCCATTGTCAACATTCACAGATCTGGGCTGAAGATGAAGGTGACAGAACAATGAGTAAAAACTCCGTACCACAGCATACCATCAATAGCAGGAGTTGGGTTGAAATCATGGAACATGAGACATGGCCGATGGATGATGGTACAAGTATACATGACATGCTACATCATGCAATGTTATTTCTTTGGTACTCATAAACATCTAAAACAACTCTTCGTCCAGAGAAACATATTATTACATGAAATAGATCGGTCCAAGATTACAACACTCCCTTAAAATAATGTTCTTGAATCAATAAGAAAACAAGAAATTAAACAGTTTTGCTTGATTCAGTAATTATCCGTATTCAGGCCAGGTGTGAGTAATGAAATTTCACAAGATTTTCTCATCAAATTAAGTTCATTAATCAGTTGGCAGAAGAGTTTAACATCTTTTCCAAATGGCAAATTTCATGAACATGCTAATAAGTATGATGACATGAACTGAATGAAATTCAAACAAAATAAATGAAACATAACATATCAGTAACAACTACATGGTAACCAAATGAGAATCAGTTTTTCCAATATATGTAAAATTGGTAGAATATGTTTGCTTTAAGCATACAATTCATGAAGAAACAAATCATCAGATCATGCTTACTGCCTTAAACACATAAATACACTTATCAGAGGTATTAAAGGAGCTCCCCAAGAATAATGACACTGCCATTCCTCATTGTAATTTGCTTACTTTTGATTGGTACATAGGTGCCATTTTAACACATTAATGAGAGTAACTGAACTCATCTTTGGGGTAGAGTGCCTTCAACCAAAACAGTAGTTATTACAATGACATTCATCATCTACAAAACAAATTACATTTACCGTATTCGATGTAATAAGCGCCCAACTCTAATAAGCGCCCACGGCGATATTTGCCGATATATTGGCCAGTGAACAATCCTAATTAGTACCCATTCCGATTACTCAATGTACACAAGACTTATTTATTCGTGTATAATTTGTGCTCGCTTGTTATATGCACCCTTAATTATGGGCAATTAAATTCTGGAAATATCAAATATCTGCCATGTAAAATACACACATTCTATTCTTTTGTATCATTTCCGGCTGTCAGCATAAACCACAAAAATTATGATCTTTCAACTTTTTTTTTCACAAAAATTATATTTAATAAGAGCCCTCTATTTCTAATTTTGAGAACGCCCTGGGTGCCTATTACGTCGAATACGGTAGTCTCAATCATCCTGATAGTGAGTTGCCCCATCAACCCCTCAGAAAACAAAGAACCTCCATTTCCGAGTGAGGGAATGAAATGAACTTCACTCCTTGAACCCATGTGGGGAAATCAACCCAGAACTTAGATGTGACGAGCAAATGTTGTTAACACTAGAATACCACGCATACACCTCTATTTTTTTACCAATATGGATTCCCTGACCCATTACATCTGACCAATGGCCCATCATTTTCACAGGACAGGTCACTTGACCAATTTTTTTGTTTGTTGTTTAACACCGCACTCAGCAATAATCCAGCTATATGACGGTGGTCACTTGACCAATAAGTATATCAAAGAAATCTGAAGCTCTGTTTGTTTGTGTTATTTAACGTTGCACTCAGCAATATTCCAGCTATATGACAGCGGTCGGTAAATAATTAAGCCTGGAGAAGACAATCCAGTAATTGACATCATGAGCATTGATCCAGGCAATTGTGATATGATGACATGCATGAACCAAGACAGCAAGACTGACCACCTGATCCGGTTAGTGGCTATTACGACAAGCATAGACGCCTGTTACGGCAAGTATAGTCTGTAGTCGGTACTGCTGATCATGGAAATATCAGGATCCAAGGCAGCTCTTTCCTTCAGCTGGGTTGTTACAGTTAATTACCAAAAAGCCCTGCCTGCTGCTCAACTCCATAAGTAGACACCTGCCCTCCTGACCAAAATGTATCAACAGCACTGGGCATTCCCAATTGGATTGTCAGAGATTGGAAATATCTTCAATACTTCCGCTTCCTGAAGAGCTCCTTTAAAAAAATATGAATGATTCCAAAGTGGTTAGAGGATGATCAACACAATGCCCAAATTAACCACAGATTACAAAAATATCATGCATGTTCTCTTTTACAGAAACACATTCAAAGAACCAAAAACATTTTCGTCAAAATGACTTGTATTTCTTTCGCACTGCTAAATATTCTATACATTCTCTTGACACTATACTTAACAGTTTGAGGTAAAAGAGAATTATTATCAATCTGAGGTAACAGTCAACATAGCCACTGATTTCAAAAACCAATGAAACCAGAACATCCCATGAAGGCTATTGCAATTAACACGATCACAGTCAGGCTTTCTACAGCTGGATTTTAACTAAATATACCTATGATAAACAGCTAAATGAAATTATCATGCTAGGTTGAGGGGAAAAGATATGCCAATACATTATATTATTTAAATGCATCCCTTCTATACATCAACACACAAGGTTGAACTGTGTACAAATGAATGTTTGCGTCTTTCAAAGTTAAGATAAAAGTCCTGTACTCAAAATCCTTACAAGAGCCACATAAAACCATATGCAGTGCATTGTGACCCATGTATCACAAAATGGTCAATAAAAAAGTCAAAAAGTCCCCTCGATTCATTACACCACATTTAGGACAAACAGAATTTTCAAAATTAACCTATAATGAGATAAGAATGAAAGGTCTTGCTTAAAGAATAACAATGTAATGAAACACAATTTGAGAACCATCAATATATTGAGTTATCTGTACCTTAAGACAAGCAGAGTGCCGAAATTAGACCAATATGCCAATATGGGTTCTACCAGATCAATAAAGGTAAATCGTCTTTGATGATATAGAGAGAAAAAGGATTTCAAGTTTTCATTGTGTGTTGTGTTCACTATTTTTTTTAGATGAATGTCAAAATGTTCCGCCAAGGTAACATTTACATGTACAAAAAGCATTTCAAAATGGTGAATTTACTCAAAATCCAACAATAATTCGACTTGACAATATTTCACATTACATTCGAGCAATTACTGCAATCACACAGACATACAATCCCTGCCTGAACAGGTAATTCAGCATTTAATTCATGGACTTCAGAATCAATGTTAGGATACAAATGACAGAACTTGGCAATGTGGAGTATTGCCAAGAATTACCCACCACAGTAGCACTTTTCTGCCCACTGGCAAAGATCATAGAGAACAGAAACACGCCCAATAACCTGCACTCAACTACACTTGACAAATATGCATGGTCAACATGAAGACTAGCTGCAGAGTATGACACTCATCAGATACACAAACCACTGTAATAATGTACAGTGTTGTGGAAAAATAATATTGGTGGGGTAAACATTAAATCATAGTTGGGTAAATATTTACTCCTGGTTGGGTAAACATTTACTCCTGGTTGTGTAAACATTTATTCCTAGTGGGTAAACATCTGTCTTGGTTGTGTAAACTCCTCGTCAGGTAAACATTTACTCTTGGTCAGGTAAACATTTACATCTGGTCGGGTAAACATTACTTCCTGGTTGGGTAAACATTTACTCCTGATTGGGAAAACATTTTTTCCTGGTAGGATAAACATTTCTTCCTGGTAGGATAAACATTTCTTCCTGGTTGGGTAAACATTTCTTCCTGGTCGGGTAAACATTTCTTCCTGGTCGGGTAAACATTTCTTCCTGGTCAGGAAAATATTTTCTCCTGGTTGGGTAAACATTATTCCTGGTCAGGAAAACATTTACTCCTGGTTGGGTAAGCAAGTAATAATGAAGATTTACTTACAAGCATGTTCTCAGGTTTAGCATGGTTGTATGCTGCTGTTAGCAACATCACAGCGGTGGACACCAGAGATGGGCTTCACACACTAAACTAACGTTGGAAATAAACCCCGGCCTTCGATTTGACAAATGAACACTTCAACCACTAGGCTACCCCACCAACCTAAAAGGAATTTACAACGAAGGTAATCTTCGTAACTTACTGAAGATAACATTCCACAATGAGTGATACAGATGACTTCCAGTACACTATGTGAATTTCAACAATGATTATTACAGCAGTTTGTGTAATGTCATATATAATAAAATATTGTAAGAAGACCATCCATTTTCACATTCACATTACCAAGTCACCCTTCTAAACTCTAGCAATGAGTTACCAATCTGTACAAACCACAGAACATGTCTCGCAAATTCACAAAGCCATGGCATATGTATTCAAATTTCTACATAGATTCCATTGCAGAAATCCATCCCAATATCGTAATAGCACAAGAGGCCATCTACAGAGTATGAAAGTTACCCAACACTTACAATGTACAATGAAAATAAATAGACAATATAACACATATTTTCAACAGGGCGATATATAGGGCAGCAGCCTTCATAAGGCTACCCAAGGGATGGGAGGCAGAAATTGTTCTTACAAATACAAGGGAGATTACCTGGGATTTTCCAATGGATAATTCCCTGCAATTCTCAAAACTTCCACAAATCCTAAAACAATAGCATGTAGACAGTATTTTTACATGAATGATTTCAGCTTCATATTTTCTGGACATATCCATGTGTAACAAGTATTTTCAAAATTCCAAGTAATCTGTTATAACAAAACCTCTTGAAATATTTCTTGGAGTATTCCCCGACATGTAATCTATGGACTTCAAAATGGAAATATTTACCCACAGATTTACAGTCTGGTTTCTATGTAGATGAACTTCATCTAATAAAAACAGTGCACACTAACATTTCCGCATCATACTCTTATTTTCTAAATCAGCTGTCTCTCATTCTAATTGAATTTAATACTGTCCAAAGATTAATTTTCTCCACATGGAGCTTAGATGGTTCTCCAAACTAAAAACTAACTGTTCAACAAGAGGTATACTCAAGCTGCATGGAATAAAAGAGACCAAAGGAACAAAGATATTTCAATTTTAGCCATTACGGTGGATAATCATATGAACCTTATTAAAACAAATCCGGTTACAAAAAGTTGGAACTACAAACATAATAAAATAATACAAATAGATTCCACCTCATGAAAGAAAAGAACAGTTACTGAAGTCCATACATTACAATTTTGGGAGCTTACATAAGGGAGGTAACTTTTGTTTCAAACACAACTGTCTAAATTGAGACAAGACGTCCATTGAAAATCAATTCAAGAGTTCCTTTCCGTGCATAACTGTATTGAAATAAGGGACATCATCAGTCTACACATTTGAGTATGTCTTTTGCTGAAACTTCAAGAGATGTATGGAAATGGCAAAATGGTTAACCCACTAGTATCATTATTTCTCAATTGACACCTTTTTGATTGACAAATTACATCAGCTGATAGATAGATCTAGACATAAAAGTTGGCACCAAATGATGAATCGTGAACCAATGGACAGAACTATTAAGAATGACAAAATTTTGGAACGTTAACATCTACCACTGTGGGACATTCACTTTCTGTGAATAATATGAAAAATCATTGCAAAAACAGTATGTGTATATATATATATATATATATATATGTGCCATGCCACTTTATGCATAGGTCTCCTAACTCTTCAAAACATTGATTCACTGTTCTAATTGCATTAACTCTCTTCAAAACTATTCAGTTTACAACAACATCCTCATCAGACACGGTATGCAACAAGTTCATTCCTGCCAGTCATTAGGCATTGTAATCTGTTCAACATGTCTTCAGACACTTCTACTCAGTCACATCCAAATGATACTGTCAAACAAAGAGGGGATGAGAAATGAATGAAACTGTGGATAACATGAACAATTTGAAATGAAAGTGAGACTGAATGATAATGGACACAAGAACATGTCTGCCATCCAAACCCTATGACTGTTTGACTCGTTTGCGAGGTGGCCCCAGGGGTGGGCTCTGCTGGCTTGCCAGAGCACGGAAAGCTTCGGCAATTAAGTGCGGGTGGGTTGAGATCATGGCTTTCCATCCTTGAGTTTCCATCACATCAGTTGCATGGCTGGAGAAAAACAATATCACATGAAGTAAAAATCATGGGTAAAAGGACATGATTTCTCAAAATGCACATAGCAAAGATATACAACATGAAGAAAGGAAACACAACCATAATAATCATAGTATAGGCTTACAATCACACATTACATCGCCTTTGATTGACTCTTTTTTTTTAAAGAAAAATATTCCCCAAATGTAAAATCCCTCATCCCCCCATTACTTCAAAGGGAGATAATTCATGAGCACAGTACCACTAGAAAACACAACTTTCTACTGTTGATCAGTTTAGAAACAGCAACATAGAGAATACACGTCACTGTAACCTGTTATCAGAGTTGTTCTTATTCAACATATATTATGCATATACTGAGGCGAATACCATTCGTATCACGAATATAGGGTAATGAATACGAATATTTAATCATGAATACAATAACATGTCACCAGTTGATGTATTATTTGTTATATTCAGTGAAGCAATAACAACATGAATTATTTGACATGGTTTGTTAATAATTAATATATTATACATTTATATACTGCACTTATCCAGGTACTAGTATCTGCTCAAATGCAACAATGACCAGTGACCACAATACTGTCAAATTAAATATTATAAGTGGGTTGTCTTTGAAGAAATCTATGCACATAATATGTTCTTAAGGGTATTTTTAGGTACAGGGTATGTAAATGCGTATGATTGCATATTCTTAAAATTTGATTCTAGTGGCCATGAATAACAAATTCATTCATGAATGTATACGGTTCGATTCCCCGAATATGCGAGTGAATCGTAACAGCCCTAGTGTATATATATATATATATATATATATATATATATATATATATATATATATATATATATAAAAAAAAGAATGTATTCTTGATGGATTAGTGAAGAGCAGGAAAGAGAGAGTAAAGATGGTCTTATGAAGTCCCTTAGTCCTAGGCTTGAATACCATGAAGAGCCCATGATGGATCATAAGATCGTTGAGGGAAAAATAAATAAATTCTCATACTGCTGATAAACAAAATGGACTTACCTATTTACAAAATCTATTGCATGTGTCTTGAGTTGGTCTGCACTATGCAGATCAGCTAACACCAGAATCTCACAGACATTTTCTATTGTTAAGTTTGAACACAGGGCCTCTTCACACATCACTTTTAACCTCTCAAGAGCATACTGGAATGAAAACAACACACAATCTTAGCAATACCATGGTAATATCCTTACATCATGGTCACAACATCATTGATACAAGGTAAGTGAGTTAGCCTGTGTTTGGTTTAATGTCACTTGGAACAGTATTCCAGTTATCACGGCGAATCAGCTTGATGTGGGAGGAAAGCCTGAAGCGTTGCAGCACTTAACGTTTACCAGTTTGGAGAAACCACAGAGCATGGGTATGGTGTTGACAAACCAAGAGACAATTGGTCAAACCCTGATACGAACCACAACCATAGGTTTCTGGTGTGAACAAGGGACGCAACTCTGCACAAGGAATTCAGCACCTTAGACTTCTGGGCCACCCATGCCTCCATTTGTACTTTTATCAGTGTTTGAAATTAAGGGGGTTCTTGATTTTCACATATTCCAGTTAAGCACATCAATTCTAATGGGAGCCTGTAAGTTCACATGGTTGACAGAATGAGCAATGATTCCGCTACAGGGGTTGAAAAATTATTAAAAATGTTACTTGACCAAGGGCAAGTATGACCAACATTCTCACTTGCCCTATTTTAAAATGTACTAGCCCAAAATCAAGCTAATAAATTTGAACATCCATCAATAAACGTTCTCTTACGATTGCAAGCGTGTATGTTTGGGTCCTTGAAACAAATGGTGCACTTCATGACTTTCGCTGTGTCATCATACGCAACCCAAGGAAACTGGTCTTTCCACCCAGCGATGAATGTTCGTTTTCGTTTACATTCGTCATACTTCTTATTCTTTGCCGATATACAACTTTCGGAATTTCCCTCTGCCTTCGTCCCCACCGCCAAAGAAACTTAAAATAGACCGCTGAGACATGATCGGCCATGTGCGGTACTGGCAATATAAATTGTTATTGCAGATACCCCTCTGGGTGCTAATGAGGCAAAGGGAGACTACTCTGTCCTTTACTAGCTTACTTATTTGAAACAACAGATTTACTTACAGTGATCCCTCGCTATTGCACTCTTCAATATAGCGCTAACTCGGTTATTGTGTGCAGTAACACATGGTTCCCAAAACTTATATACACTTTTAGTAAACTCAAGTCACTGACACGATGTCATTTCCCCATCGCAAAAACATTACCACCTGCACGCAACACAGGAAATACCAATCAACAAATTCCGAAATTAAATCCTATTATTACTATCTGGTTATAAAAAAACACGTTTGTACCTTGACATATGTTTGTAGCATATTTTATTAATTTTATTTAAAATTTCATTCAATACAGTTTAGATCAATTTTGCCGAAATCGTGCGTAAAGGGGTCGATAGATCGCACAACTCGCCGTTATTTACAGCAACCACGGTCAGGTTATCGCTATTGACGACTCGAATGAACTTTAGTTGACAACGAAAAGAAACACCTATTAAATAAATGCCATACTTTCACTCGTTAAAAGTCCCGTTTGTTGTAGTTCGACAAAATTATATTTCATCAAAGCTAGGCCTAACGGAGCATCTAAAGTCGGAAAATGTTTCAACCTCGCGTTACAATTTCCAAGAAATTCCATTTCCAAGAAACATGTGCCATATATGGAAGTGTTACTACGATTTAACAATGAAACAAGCCTGGTTCTCGTTGTTGACCTGCCTGACATCGAAATGTATTAATCCCATTGGTTGACTGGCGTAGCTGTATGCAAATTACATTGTCAGTTTGCTAACAAAATATTAGCCAATCAAATACCGTAACATGATCACATGATTACATTCGCGTAAAACCTGACCCAGTTCATTTTGGGTGCTCTACTTGTCCACGGGCATGCTAGAAAACGTATATTACACGCCCGACATCTAAACCTTACTTGGCACGGGCGTCGGGCAATGGTATTTTTCAACCCCTGCGCTATCTCACAAATTCGTGATGTGACATCTTATGTGGAAGGTGAGTGAGTGAGTATGGTTTTATGCTGCTTTTAGCAATATTCCAGCAATATCACGGCTGGGGACACCACAAATGGGCTTCACACATTGTATCCATGTTGGGAATCGAACCCGGGTTTTGGGCGTGACGAGCGAACGCTTTAAACACTAGGCCACCCGACCGCCCCCTTGTGGAAGGTGAGTAAAGGGATGCAGTTCCTGGATGTTTACCACTGTGGTGAAACCCACGAAAATTGGTATGACACACCAAGGATCATAATCAGTGATAAGCAGGACAAATCCCAGATTCTAACCCACATCATAGAATACTCCTTGCACATCCAAGGGACAGTGAAATGTGACTGTTGGGCATCTGTGGCCTGACTTATCATCTTAGATACAGTAAATACAGTACCTTGTCAGCTGCTGCTAGAAGATCATCTGCCATTTTGTCAAGGTTTGGAGCTTTGCCTGTGTATATAAATCTCAGCATCTCCCTCATCACTTCATGGTCCACGTCAGTAATGTCTACCCGGTTCTGAAAACACAACGGATATGAATACTGCATACTACTGTTTGCAAACACTGATGGGTTGTCTTGCATATGAAGATATGGATATTTTAGTATTATTTTGAAAATTTCTATAGTTAATGCTGCTAACACCTCAGTTAGCAATACTGTAGCTGTACGGCGGTGGCCTGTAATAATGCGGTGATAATTCAGGGATTGATAGTGTGACCAGTGATCCAAACTGTTGCGGTACAATGGTACACATTCAATCAAGTCACCAAGCCAAACCACCCGATCCATTAAATCGCCTCTTAGGTTGCTGGGGACCTATTCAAACCCCGAATCCCCATGGGTCGGAAGTAAGTAGACCAAGTAAGGATGAGTAAACAAAGGAATGTCAGCAAGATACATGCATTGTCTGGTCAGCTGCTATATCCACCACCAGAGTTTGCCTAACAATTACCTTCCTAGTTAAGTAATTTGCGCATTAAAAAAATGAATGAATGAGTGAGTATTGTAAACACTGCTTCTAGCAATATTCCAGCAATATCATGGCAGGTGACACCAGAAATGGGCTTCACACATTGTACCAAGGTCTTAGGGGTGACGAGCGAAAACTTTATCCACGAGGCAACCCCACCATGCCCCATTTTAAATTAGCTCAGTAGACAAGGAAATATTCTTCTTATGCAGCCCTCCTAACTACACCATTCTAGCTGTACGCATACAAATGAAGATAAATAAATAGGGATGCAGTCAAGACCCAAGTATCTCCTTCCTTGTATTGAAATAATCATGATGAAAGTTATCCAGTTTCTACTGGATGAGATTCAACTACTTTTGTCCCTAGCAAAACCAAATACAATATGAAGTAAAAGTTTAAACAATGTTTCTCGGGCGTTTTTGTATTCCTGACTCATTTTGAAGTAACACAATTCATATTTCAATCAGGTTAGTTTGGTACCTTATACAAACATGGAAACAAGAGAACAAGATCTAGGCTTTGTGTATATTGAATGGAAATAGTAAGAAGGGGCATTTGGCTGGGACTGCCAAATGCCCAAGCAAACACTTATCCCTCCACAACAGTATGCAGTTATCCCACGGAAGGACAGCGGGTTGGATAAACTGCATATCCCCATTTGCGATTCAGTGGGCCAGAGCATGGACTAGACTAGACTAGACTGCCATTGTGTATCCGACCCCAGGGTGTGTTCAACATCACTGTCACCACAATGCCTGATCACAGGTAAGGCTGGATCTGAAATCATGCTGCAACTAGAAGTACTCAAAAGATCGGGAACCGTAGTTGCCCTCACGAAACATAGTACCCTTGATACGACTTACAGCCGAGAGCAATTCCCTAAAATATTCTGTCTTCAGCAGGCCAATCTTCTTCACCAATGGTGGTCATGAGAGACAACGGTAGGAAGGACAGATGAAAGTCAGAGTCAACAGACATGAGTGATCTATCATCTATCTTGAGTCTTAGCTCTGTTGGCATCAAGGGGAGGCGCCAAAGTGGGGAATGAAATCCCATGCAATTTAAACTGGGATGGGGTGATGGTGGTTTGGGGGGTGATGGTGGTTTGGGAAGTGAACCCTTCAGGGCTACCTGCTTCAACAGAGCACGGATGCCGTTGAACAAGTTATTAATGGGAACAGTGTCAGAAGGTGTAGTAAGCTTGCGATCAAAGTTCTAAGTATTTCTTGACATGATCCTTGATTTTAAGGTCATCCATGAGGCACAGGTGGCACAAGTTCAGAGTGGCAGTTCCTCAGCCTTAGAATTAGTAATACTGGGCGCCAAGGCATAAGAGGAGGCCCTCTGTGAAGAGAGTGCTTGCATGAAAACCCTTTTGTGTGACGATGAGCGATATATTGAATGCCTTGCGGGAGAGTCTGAGGTACAATCAACCCGAGGCGCCTGCACAAGCGTTGCGGACAACAACAGAAGCAGAAGGGTACCCTGAAGAGACAAGTTGTAACTGCAGCGCCAAACTGACGACCATATCAGTATGAGTATCCTGATAAGGGAGCACCAGAGGTGATCTATCCTGAGTTGAAAACGGCAAATTCGAAGTCTTTGAGGGCTGGGCCTGAGGTGATGACGTCTGAATAGGTGGCACCTGAGGTGGCAAAGGCAACAGCACCTGAAGAGATTGCTCTTGGCGCAAGTAAATACGGAGCAGGCCAGGCGGAGGGCACCTGATAATGCTGTTGATAAGCAGGTGATATCCCATCATCCAAGGCTGGTAACCCTGTAGCTGGTGACGTGCTTGGAGATATGCCTGTCGAGGTGCCTGTGCCAGGTGAGGCGCTGAAGAAGAAGGCAGCACCTGGTGAGATGTCCGAAGTGTAGGCACCTGCTGAGGAGACTCCAGGTCAACGGACTCGAAGGGATGTGATGAAGTCTGACGCTGTAGTTATTGATGTGCCCTTTTGTGTAGTGTAGCCTGGTAAACATTGAAAAGGTTGGGGGATAAGTGGGCACAATTGGTATAACGCTGACCTAAGGTGCAGGAGAACCAGCAGTCTGGGCAGAGGCTGTGGGGGTCCTGGGCTGAACTCCTCCCACAACAATCCACACACTTTTGGAGAGGACGAACAAGTTCATCGTCAATTCCTGACACCGGACCCAAGATGACCAGAAAAAGAGAAACAACTATGGACGGAAATCATGGGAAGTCATTAAACAAAACCCAACCAGCTCGTGTTAAAACGAGGGAGGTAGAAACAAAACAGAAACTAAAACGGAGCTTCACATGCCCTAGGGAGCAATGGTGGGGAAAGAACGTGTGTAGAAGGTTAGTAGCCATTTAATCATATTTATTGAAAAATAACAGCAAGGGACCCTAATAATGATGTACTAAGGATGATAGATCAAATTCAAACCTAAATAAGAAAACTAATCCAATTGTAAATGTGGATTGGAAGCACAACCATGTCCGTTCACCACGGGCAATGATGAAAAAAGTGACAATTAGTACAGGAGCATTCTGAGAGCAAGGTGGTTGAAGGGTTTGTTCCAGTGATTAATTTACATTGTTTTACGCTGTTATATGATCAAAGCAAGAAGGAATATTGCATACTGTTGTGGAGGTATAAGTAGAAAAACAACACTGGTTACAAAAATAGACTAATTAAGAGGTGCTCATTGGTCAGATGCATTTCAGATATTGCAAGATCATAAATCAAACCCTAATTGAGGAAAAAGAGGAACACACTGCTCAGGTAATATTGGCTATGTCAAATGTACCTATAACTACCAAGAGAGACAAAAGTTAGGAACGGAAAAATATAATCTTCATAACTACCTGTTTTCTTTCTTCCATTTCATGTTCGAACATTGCACTAAATACTGGTGACCTCGCTGCAAGAGACAAATTATGCATAAGAACAAATAAACATCACCATGATCAGTGACGTGGCAGCACTACCAACAATCTGATCCTGACATTTCAGTGTCCAAAACAATTATGAAACAATTAGAAAACCAAGTCAGTGGTGAGACAAGGTCTGTGAAATGGGGTTCAGCGGCGTGTTCAAGATTATTGCACTAATATACAACATGCATCTTCGGCTGCTTGTCCTAGTCTCGACTAATGCCGGTTTTATAGTGCTAGCCCACGGATATACCAAATATACCAAATTTCGATAACTGGTAGTCTAGATCACGTACTTTGTGTACCCCCCTGGCAAATGTAAATTGGCATGGCTCCCATGGCCGAAAGCTAAGAATACACAATGCCATGTAGAAATCGTGACTGAATGAATGTTGATGCAATATCTATGACAACTATGGAAGAATATCACGGCCTAAGTCAATCCCTGCCTGTTCTGTCCCAGCATCACCTCAAGCAAATGCTTACTCACTTTCATGCTTTCAATAATTTGGACCAAGACCATTTGGTTCCAACAGGCCTCATATCTGAACATTGGTATCATTATTCAACCGTTTCAAATTGGGAGTCACTGAACTCAAACATGTTTACTTTGATGAAATCTATGATTATTGGCATTATATGGTAGACAATCTGACAAACTGAAATTTGCACCTATGACAACTTCATGGTACTAAGGGACACAACTCTGCACAGACATTGTTCTATCTTAGACAACCTGTGTCCCATTAAGAATTGGAAGCAAGTATCCCAAAGAACTGGAAGTACAATTCAAATTATCTTTCACCAGAGCTCATAGACGCAGGGTTAGAAACTAACAGTTTTTGTCCACTAGTCCTTATAATGATAACATATAGCAAAACCCTTAAAATGAGCCAATTTCTACTAGTGCTTAGGATACCTTTACTATTGGGCAGTTTGGTAAGGACTACAGGACTAATGCCAATTTCTAACGCTGTAGACATGAAAACAAACTCACCTGCGAGTATTGCTTTGTGAGCAAGGAATTCCCTCCCCGCAACACAAAGTGTGACATCACTTGATGATGACCTTTCAAACAATGCCCCTAAGTCGTCACTGAGTCGACACTCTGGTACTTTCACTGGTGTACAGTTGGACTGTCCTGATACATTCACTGTGTCACCCACGACACTCACCTGAGCAGAAAAACACACAGTTGTTATCCACAAACATTACTTAATATTTATTCCATGAACACTAACCCATAGCTAACATTTACTTTTCAAGACCCTTAGTTATCCTTCAAGATCTTGTTTAGTAGGATAATCTGACTTTTGCACATGGCTCACTGTTCCTTTTGTTGCCTACTTTACCAACAAAGCAAATCGTGAAGATGAATACACATGTATATGAGTGAGTGAGTTGGGTTAATACCACTTCGAGTTAAATAACAGTATTTTCAACACGTGGGAGGAAAGCATTAAGTCATGAAGGTTTACTCTTTCGTGAAACCCATAAGCTTCACGGTGCTGACAAGTTATGAATCAGAAATAGGGCAAATTTGGGATAATCATAGTTTTCTGGCGTCCCAGAGGGAACTGTGCACAGCATGTAGCAGGACCTTAGACGACTTGGACAACCATGCTGCCAATTATATGAGTGATATATGTTCACAGAGTGAAAATCCTGATAATAAACTGCCTGTAGCATGCTTCATGTCTTGAACAAGCTGAAGATACTGTGTGTATTGCAATTAAATATTTAGAAGAGAAAAAACTTACTTCACAAAATATTGTTAACTTGTCGTCCGGTAAAAGACCATTGGCTTCATCCATTAGAAAATCTCGACGGATGAACTTTTTAAATCCCCAGTCTTTCCCTTGGACAAAACGGTATGCTCTTTGGCTTTCTACAATGAAAATGTGACAAATTATCACCTGGGTTAGTGCAAAAATATCAAACAGTACCAAGCAAGACACCAACACCGAGACTCCTCACCATTAACCACTGGTCTTAGTCTAGTGAATTGTTTTGGTACGCAGATAAACCAACATTAGTATGATGAGTTCAGGTTAAGTTTGTTGTGGCTCTTTGTGATCCAGCCAACCCTATTTTTAGACAAAAATTAACAGAACAAAAAGAAGAAAGATTTTGACCTAACCTTGTATCAAACCTGCATTTCTTTGTAGTTCTGATTAAATTTTGATTCAATTACTTTTGTGGGAAACAAAAAAGTACCATCATAACAAACAAACATTTTGAAAAAAATATCCTGAAATCATAAATAAATTTCAACTCTAATTTTTGGACTTATTCCCTTGTAGTTTATAATTCTATTTTCCATGTAATATTTATTGGGGGGGCCTCCTGCACCAATAAAACAAAAATGAAATTTATCTAGCCTCATACATAGCTCATGAGTGAGTACCAAGAGCACTATGTAGAGCAAACATGATGTAAATCGATGAAATGAATTAGTAGTGCAAATGTTCTTGGACAAGGCTGCCACAAAAAGCAAAATTACCTGTTACAGCTATATTACTCACAATAAGGCAGGTGACAACAGACCAACAATGTCAACAGTCTTATGAGTCTACTAGTCTGATATGGCTTTTAACATCATCTTCAGTAGATTTTAGTGTTATATGGACTACCATAGCTCAGCTTACTAGACCGAATAGACCTTAACTAGAGTCGGGACTCGGACTAGTGGCTGGAGATGCAGTCTGTGTTCAGCTGTGTTCAGCTGTGATTATGGCCATCACCTGCGACAATAGTGGCTCCATGTGATAAGCATGAGTGGGGTTTAAAGACACTTTTAACAATATTTCACTTGTGTGACAGCTTGTCAGTTTAATGTGAGAATAATGCCCAAAGCGATTTTTTTTGTCAATGTTCATGACAATGAATGGAAACAAAGAGCACAGAAGAGTGCTGATAGACCAATTACCCTGACAATCATTTGGGGAGAATCTTGGATTCAAACCAACTAACGCCCAACCCTTGTCCAACTCCCCACTGTCTGTCTGTCTGTCCCAATCCTGTTAGTCGTCACAAGCAGTGTTTCTGAAGACCTACTCTAACCCGGATGGATATGTGTGAAACATATGACATACCTTGTTAAGACATTTAGACTACTTATTGATACACAAAATGGACAATTATTTTTAAACACAATACTACTTACCCATAGCTTTTGTTTCTTCTCTTTTTGCATTCAGTATTGAAAATTTGAACTTTGCTCGAACTTCACTTTTGTTGCAAGAGACTAATAATAAGTAAAGTGAGAGGTATTCTTTACTCTCTTCATCCAGACCCTTTGGATTCACACGTAAACACCTGCAAAAAGAATAAAAATGTCCAGGGTTGTTAGGAGTGCATGAACATCATCAACACCAGACCAACATGTCAGATAAACATCAAACAAGAAACTATATCAATGATCAGTGATTCAATCTATACTACTCAAAAGAAGTTAAGGACCACCCAATTCTTTCACATTACTATACTTTATTTGTTTGTTGTTTAACACTGCACTCAGCAATATTCCAGCCATATGACGGCGGTCCGTAAATAATCATGTCTGGACCAGACAATCCAGTGATTGACATCACACAATTGGGACATGATGTCATGCATCAACCAGGTCTGCGAGCCTGACCACCCGATCCCATCAGTCACCCCTTACCACAAGCATAGTTGCTTTTTACAGCAAGCATGGCTTGCCGAAGACCTATTCTACTCTGGATCTTTACGGGTCACATTACTATGGTAAATCAGTCATGGCATGACAACTTAACTTAGTAATATGAAAGAGTTGGGTGGTCCTGAACTTCTTTTGAGTAGTGTACTTTGAAAATCAAGGTCAATCATTACTTAGGGCAAAACAACTAGGATTCAGTCATAACAAATCAAAGTGTATAGTTAATGAAATTAACCATAAAATGTACAATACTAATAATACCAGAGACATCAATTTTGGACCAGACAATACAGCGATCGACATCATGAGCATCGATGACTATGTCATTATGACATGCATCAAGCAAGTCAACAAGCCTGACCACCCGATCCCATTAGTCACCTCTTATGACAAGCAAGGCTTGCTGAAGTCCAATTCTAACCTGGAATCTTCAGGGACTCTAGGACCAGGTAAAAATGGCACACACCAAAACATAATCATGCTAATCAATATTGATGTTTTGTTCATCCTTGATAAGTTCATATGATGAATGATCATGATGATGTCTGTTTGGGTAACTAACAACCCATCAAACAGCCAGCAACCAGTCCCAGAGAAATTCTGTGGAATAATTACCAAAATTCTGCAGTAAAAATATGACCATTTCCCCCTCAAAAATGACACAAACTCATATTTTGAAAACTTCAATCCATATCCGACACAAAATAATTTCACAAACTGTCGTTATAAACAGTTATCATTGGAAAAGACATAAAATTATAAAAATAAATATGCATAGTCAGCTGATAGTGACACTGATACTTATTATTGGTTAGATGTAAACATTGTTTATGTAGTCATAATACCCCAAAAAGCTTAACAAGTGAGAATTATTTATTGCAAATTTCGTTTTATTGCCGTATTCATAATTTGTATGTTTGAATAACATGTTAAATGTCTAGGCATCATTCAAGTGCAAAATTCGATAGAAAAACATGAAAATAATGAAAATTAATTAGTGTACTGATTGAAAAAGAAGAAGAGGTAAATTGCACGATTTTCTGCAAATCTTTTCGAAGAATCGCAGAATTGTGGGACTGAGCAACATATGGCACATCTACAAATACAACCATGATTACTTGTAACAAAGGGGGATCCTGGAGGTTTGCTTCTATAGTATTTCAGTCTTGGGATCCCCTGAAGGTTAATCTCTTCAGAGATAGATCCGTGTAAATCTGGGGGGACTAGTTTTTCTCTCCAAAAATCTAGTTATTTGACATTAACTAAAAGTCCGAAAACAGCTAGATTTGACCAATGGTGTCTACCCTTGCTTTTAACGTAACTGTTTCAATGACTTCCATCAACTGATTATTAGTACACAAGTCAAACACCCTTACCATTTCAGTTTATCATTGGCCCCTGCTGAGAAAGTGGAACTTTTGAGGACCTCTCCCATTTCTTCTCTACAAAAGCTGAAGTTGTTGATGGTCCATATATAGGAAAATTTGATCACTTTTACCTGTAAACAGTAACAGTGACATGATATTAAACAGAAGACAGAAGAAACATGAGTCACAACCAGCCTTGAGTCAACAGAGTATCAAAAACTAATCAAAATGTTGTAATTGTATGTTGTTTAACCCGCACTCAGCAATATTCCAGCTATAGGATGGCGGTCCGTAAATAATCATGTCTGGACCAGACAATCCAGTGATTGACATCACACAATTTGGATATGATGTCATGCATCAACCAAGTCAGTGAGCCTGACAACCCGATCCCGTTAGTCGCCTCTGACGACAAGCATAGTCGCCTTTTAAGGCAAGCATCGGTTGCTGAAGACCTATTCTACCCCGGATCTTCACGTGTCACTAATTCATTTATCCACTGTTTATCAATGATTATTTCAAATCGATTCAATGTCAAAAAACCTAAGTTGAAAACTGATCTGCTTTTGACAAAAGAACTCTCAATATACCATGAGGTCTATCATCTAATGAAATATATTCGCTGTTATATACCTGGAATATTGCTGAGTGCAGTGTTAAACAAAATGTAAAAAAATAAAAATATTAGCAAATGCTGTTCATATGTCTTACTTGTGTGTAGCACCAGTTTTCTGCAACAGGACATGACACTTCTGGTGGTGGAGGGGTCGGCACCCGACAAACCGCCATGCGGGAGTTGTCGGGCGACGAGGACGTCCCGCGGTCCAGCTGGTCCGCCAGTTTGATGCCTTAGTGAGCCACAACGATGATTGTGTCAGGCCGGTGTATAAAACTGGGTTCAGGAAACAGCACTGAAAGTAGGATGTACTAAATATTATCATATTATCTCACATAATTGCTGTCATATCATCAAAGATTCAAACAAATAACAGCTAGTCATTTACATTGACAAGTAAATGACAACAAAAACTTTTCACAATCATTATATAACATTCTGGCATACAACGAAAGATAAATAAAACTAGACAGGCTAGACGATTTAATGTTCTTAAGTGGCATTTTAGAAGCTGTAGCATCAACTATGGTATTCATGATCAAAATTTTGTTTTGTTTGTTTGTTTGTTGTTTAACATGTTTAACGCCGCACTCAGCAATATTCCAGCTATGTGACGGCGGTCTGTAAATAATCGAGTCTGGACCAGACAATCCAGTGATTGACATCATAATCATCGATCCACACCGTTGGGATATGATGACATGCATCAACCATGTCTGACCACCCAATCCCATTAGTCGCCCCTTACCACAAGCATAGTTGCTTTTTATGGAGAGCTGTATTGCGCTAAATATTGCAATACATATAAGGCCCAAATTATATATATTTCTACTGTTAGAATGGTACTTCTTAAATTAATAATCCAGACTTCTGATTGCGAGATTGGTAGTATGAATTAATGAGACTACCTATTATGTCATCAATATGGAATGTTGATGTGAACAGCTTGAAGCGTGTGCTATTTGTATAGTTTAGATAGGAACCCAGTCTATCTTAATGCCTCGAGATAGTAGATATAATAAATATAATTATATATTAATTCTTCCGCGACATTACTGGAAAATATCCACATGCATGGGGTGTATTGCTGACAGTATGCTGATGGTATACCTGTTATATTGAACAACCCTAGTAACTAGCACTACAAATTTCACAACAAACTGTCACGGCATCATAAAACTGCTGCTGAATTTATTATTTTGATGTTCTTGAAATAAGCACTAGGTACAATATTGTACAAGGCATACATTTTGTACATCTTTAAAATCCTCAGGATGTCATGAAGTTTATGTGCAAATCTATATTCATGGCAGCAGGGATAGACACAGCCACTAGTCCATTAGTCCGAGACTAGTGAAAATCCACAGGGACTTGTTATTTTGTACCAAAATCTTGCTATTTTACATGAACCACTGCTGCAAACTAATCATGCTAATTGGTTATGACCAATGGTGTTGACCCCTATTGAACACACAAATTAACAGGTCGTCTAGTGCATAACAACATGAGGGATATCTGCAAATCTGCCTTCATGTATATTCATGGCAGAGATATGTCAATGTGACACAAATTGACAGGTTGTGCAATAAACAGTTACATCACGTACATGTTTTTATCAATGAAAAATATGAAAGTTACCAGAACAAACTGTGTCAGTGAATGCACTACATGTTCAGCAGTAGGTGAACTCCAAAACTGTGACTTCATCACGTATTCAGTATGTGAACTGGAATACTAATCATGGACATACTTCATGACTCAACAAAAGTCATCAGGAGATGACATCGACCCCCCGAGCTGGTGCAATTTGGTAATACCCTACTTTTGGTTCATCGCCATTGGATACGTTCAGTTCAGTGTAGAAAAAAATAATGATGTTCACTATTTTTCAATATCCCTAATCATCATAAAGCACCAATTCACCACCAGACTGATCTGTATAGCAAGTTTCAAACAGAAATATTCAAAGGAACAGCTAGATATGCGTATAAGGTCAGCCATCAGGTGTTCATCCCAAACACTGCCTAATCTCCAAACTAGGCTAACATTATCATGCAACATGTAGCATCATGGGTTGTTTCTATCCATAAATCCTTGCACAAAGTGTTAATAAACAAACAAGCACACCAATTCCTGTATTGGTGCTTTATATTCTACTCCTATATGAAATATTGTTTAAATATTTTCTCATCAAAATTACATGATTCACGAGAAGTGTCCCAATTAAAAGATTTAAGCAGACATAGAGAAGGGGCGAAATTTTGCCTAACCAAACGGGCTATGGACTATATGTTTCAGCAAGCCTTTCGTAATTCAAACTGGCCACGGGCCAATAGTTAAATCGACCCCTGTGACTTCATGACACACTTGGGCAGTTAGTAGTTAGACATAAGCATTGTGTTAAAAAAGGATACTCCAACATTTATTCTAATAATAATAATAATAATAAGAAGAAGAATAAGAAGTGTACAATCAATGTTTTCCTTGTAGTTACAACATGTACAAAACTAGTGTCACATGCAAAGAGGGAAATCAATTGTGGATTGTTTAGGGCATGTGTTAGTTTAGATCTTCTTGCCTTCAAGCATAGCTTGATAGCTTCCTTTAATATGTTTAATGCAGAAACATTCTTGTTAAGTGTCAGGGAATTGAATCCCCGAACTTCGAATATCAAGCTTGTGTTTAAAAGACAACAAAATTGAATGATTATGCTCATGATAGCAAACAGAAAGTTATGACGGGGGCAGGTGGTAATGAGATATTTAAATATGGGTTAAGATTAATTAAGAAATAAATGACGGGGTGGGGGTGTTTATCATACAATAAACCACTGCAGGGAGAATAGACCATGAGGGACGCAGACTCAAGTGGTTTATTCATCATGCAGTGTTTTATTGTAAAATAAACAATTTCCATAAATGAGGTTTCGTTCTTCATTGTTCTTTGCAATTTATAGTGTACCTATCTCATATTAGTCCGTCTAGGAAGGCATTGCTTATTACCGTAATATACTACAGAGATAGACATGATAGCGTCAACACAGTAGAAAAAACAATGGCAAAACCTGGCAATTCTAACAGTTCTTGGTACTCTATTCAGGTTTGGCATGGAGGTACTGAAAATGCTTTTTGAATTACCAGTCTTCGAAAATACAGGGGTCCCTAGGTCCTTGAGGTTTGCTCATATAGTAGTATTTTAACATTAGGTTAATGACAAGGACCCCTTGACCCCTATTTCGAACACACTGACTACACAGCGCTATTTTGGTAAACAGCAGTCTGTATAAGTGTATTGCATTACATACTACAGTACAACTACTACCACAATACTGAACAGCATTTCAGTTATATTATGGCATGTCAGCTTGTCATCGGAAGGCCTAAAGTGAGGCAGGTCATATTACCACCACAGTCATGATATAGGATAAGTTACTCTGGTAACTTTAGACATGTCTTTAACATATTTATCTTGTTTTTAAATACGAAAATATAACATTCAGTACTTGACACTGACCAAATTTGTCAGTGGTCCAAAGGATCAGCACCAAACCAATTTACTGGTCCTGTTGGATCTCTACAAGACACAATGGTGCTTAGAGTTCAGACTCAATCTATCTCTGATTTCGAAAGTTGTACAAACTTAAATTACTTCGTCCCCAAAATAACACTAGACCACCAGATCACCATTTATTTAATCGTACTGGTCCTTAAGAAAATATGCTAGACTCAGACCAGCGTTAGTGCCGAGCATTGATATTTCCTGAATTATGAGAGCCTTAACAAGACAGTTACCATATAAAGAACTTGATTTGTTGACTAATTATAAACCAAAACATTAAACCATCCAGAGAATATAATGAGCAATTTGACAATATAATGATGAAGTAAATACTGCAATATCTATTCTTTTCAAAAGTTGGTAAACTGGTAATACCACATACCTCTGGTATTCACGGTACATTTCACTTTTGTCAAGCTGCCTCTCCAACTCAGTTTGGGATTTGTAATAGATTGGTAACGACAACAATGCCTAAGATGAGTACAAGGAAGAGATTTTCTTATAACATTCCAAATCAACAGTGCAACACCACAACCTAACACTACCGTGTACTGAATGGGAACTAAAGAACTGGGTTTTCAAAAGGAAAACTGTTGACAAGCAGTATGGAGCAGGGGTTTTCCCCTGACCACATGCACTGTCCCTGATTGGGCAAGAGTTGATGATGTAGGGCAGGAAGAAGCCATTTAAAGATTAACAACTATATTTATCAAGACTTTGATGAAGCAGTTCAAAATAGTGCTGACTACCATCACCATGATCTAATAGGACTTTATTATCATATCATTATTAGTGTCTGAAATAATTTTGACAAGCCAGAGGGTCTCCAGGGTTAGAACTAAACTGAAAAGCTTTACTAGTCTGGGTCAAGATAAAATGCCCTTGTAATGTTAAAACAAAGGGGAATTATGAAAACTTGGACCAATCCACTCAAATTTGTACTAGTCAAGCGCTATGTGTGTGGTTATGTTTATGTATCATGTGTGTGGTTGTTATGTTTATGTCTTGTGTGTGGTTATGTTTATGTATCACGTGTGTGGTTATGTTTATGTATCATGTGTGTGGTTATGTTTATGTATCATGTGTGTGGTTATGTTTATGTATCACGTGTGGTCATGTTTATTTATTGTGTGTGGTTATGTTCAGGCATCATGTGAGTGGTTGTTATGTTTATGTATCATGTGTGTGGTTATGTTTATGTATCACGTGTGTGGTTATGTTTATTTATTATGCGTGTGGTTATGTTTATGTAGGTGAGGTGAGGTGAAATTGGGTTTAATGTCGCGTCCAAGGTTATTGCACTTATATAGCGACGTGCATGCACGCGTGTGTGTGGCTGCTTGTACTAGTCCGGACTGATGCTGATTTATAGTGCTAGCTCACTGAGACACCATGCCACAGTTTTAACATGAATACCCCACTCAGACACAGTATACTGACTCCGAGCCGACCGGACGCTCTACCACAAGACCACGGAGGCGGCTTATGTTTATGTACCATGTGTGTGTTTATGTTATGTATCATGTGTGTGGTTGTTATGTTTATGTATCATGTGTGTGGTAACAACCAGGTTGTTATGTTTAACTATCGTGTGTGGTGATGTTTATGTATCATGTGTGTGGTTATGTTTATGTATCACGTGTGTGGTTATGTTTATTTATTGTATGTGGTTATGTTCAGGCATCATGTGAGGGGTTGTTATGTTTATGTATCATGTGTGTGGTTATGTTTATGTACCATGTGTGTGGTAATGTTTATGTATCACGTGTGTGGTTATGTTTATGTATCACATGTGATTATGTTTATGTATCACGTGTGTGGTTATGTTTATGTATCATGTGTGTGGTTATGTTTATTTATTATGTGTGTGGTTATGTTTATGCATCATGTGTGTGATTATGCTATGTATCATGTGAGTGGTTGTTATGTTTATGTATCGTGTGTGGTTATGTTTATGTATCATGTGTGTGGTTATGTTTATGTATCATGTGTGTGGTTATGTTTATGTATCACGTGTGTGGTTATGTTTATTTATTATGTGTGTGGTTATGTTTATGCATCATGTGTGTGGTTATGTTTATGCATCGTGTGTGGTTATGTTTATGAATCATGTGTGGTTATGTTTATGTGTATGTATCATGTGTGTGGTAACAACCAGGTTGTAATGTTTAAGTATGATGTGTGTGGTTGTTATTTTTATGTATCATGTGTGGTTGTGTTTATGTGTCACATGTGTGGTTATGTTTATGTATCACATGTGGTTATGTTTATTTATTGTGTGTGGTTATGTTCAGGCATCATGTGAGTGGTTGTTATGTTTATGTATCATGTGAGTGGTTGTTATGTTTATGTATCACGTGTGTGGTTATGTTCATGTATCATGTGTGTGGTTATGTTTATGTATCATGTGTGTAGTTATGTTCATGCATCATGTGAGTGGTTATGTTTATGTATCATGTGTGTGGTTATGTTTATTTATTATGTGAGTGGTTGTTATGTTTATGTATCGTGTGTGGTTATGTTTATGCATCATGTGTGTGGTTATGCGAAGTATCATGTGAGTGGTTGTTATGTTAATGTATCATGTGTGTGGTTGTTATGTTTATGTATGTGTGTGGTTGTTATGTTTATATATCATGTGTGTGGTTGTTATGTTTATTTATCATGTGTGTGGTTGTTATGTTTATGTATTATGTGTGTGGTTATCATATGTTATTACTAATCAGGCAGGCGGTCGGGTAGCCTAGTGGGTTAAAGCGATCGCTCGTCACGCCGCAGACCCGGGTTCGATTCCCGACATGGGTACAATTTGTGAAGCCCATTTCTGATGTCCCCCGCCGTAATATTGCTGGAATATTGCTAAAAGCGGCGTAAAATCATACTCACTCACTCATCAGGCTAGTAAATGTTCGGGATCCAGGGTAGAATAGGTCTTCAGCAACCCATGCTTGCCGTAAAAGGCCACTACGCTTGTCATAAGAGGCGACTAACATGATCCGGTGGTCAGGCTCGCTGACTTGGTTGATGCATGTCATCATATCCGAAGTGCATGGGTCAATGCTCATGATGTCAATCACTGGATTATTTACAGACTGCCGTCATATAGCTGGAATATTGCCGAGTGTGGCGTTAAACAACAAACAAAGAAAGTAAGTGTTCATTCCTAACACTGAAGGTTCTTTAACTCTTCCCTATATCATACAGTGATAGAAATTCACACTAACCCAACTCAACTCGAGTGAGATCAAACCATCTTGAATTTTATTCTCCATGGGAAATTGGGAATGTCCTTATGTCAACACTAATCAGGCTAGCAAACATTTCAGGTTTGGGGGAAATATGTAAATGCATGTACTATTAGTTTATGAAAAGATTAGATTACTAACAAAGAAATTTTGATGTCTTGATTTTCACAGATTTCAAACTTTATACATTTGTGAATGAAATATTATTACAATGAGTTTACATACTAATTTTTACAATGAATTATATTTTAACGTGTAATTGTTAGTGCAGTGAGTGACTTCTTTATACATGCATTCATATTGCCTCCATAGTAATGTTTGAATTTGGCACTATAAAAGAGATTTGAAAACACCTATCTCAGACAAAGTTAACTAAACTTAATGCATACCAGCGAACATCCTTAACAGGAAACAAAACAAAGCGATGTGTATGTTCACACTAAAACACATTTACCATGTTTACTCGACATGCTGTATGGGGAAAAATAACAAACCCATGTTCTGGCAATTTATCAAATGTACTTTGCTCCATCATGAATATATTTTTTGAGGTCACCTGGAACTGCAACAATACAGAAAGTCTGTATTGCATAAGTGAATCTGATTGTACACCATTTTTAGCAATATTCAAGCAATATCATCACAGAGGACACCAGAAAATGGGCTTCACATGCTGTACCATGGTTGGGGAATCAAACCCGGCCATTCAGTGTGATGAGCATAGACTTTAACCACTAGGCTAGACCACCATCTAAAAGTCAGTACAATGTTTTGGACCCATAAAACAATTTGATACAGTAGAAAAAAAAGAATTGCCAAAAACTGTTGGGAAAATGCCATGACATAAAGACCATTTGAGCACACTTAAGCATGCTAAGAGACGGCAGGCAAAGTTTAAAATAATATAGACTCCAAAAGGTACTGGACTGTCAGGGATTTATCAAGACATGCTCAGAGGCCAATAATCACCCCCAAGTCTGCAGCAAATGTCATTAAAAAACCCTCAATTCATGCATACATATTTGTAGGACTCAGATCTATGGCGGAACTCTAATCCATGGCATATTCTCAGATCCATGGCAGATCATCATTGATATATGATGTTTGCAATGATCTGTTACCTTGTCCAGCTCCAGCTAGCTCTATTCTGAAATCAGCATGGGGAATTTTTATTTTATTTTTAGAGTCAAGAAGGATATTGTGTTATATAAGATTTCAGAGACTAAATGTTAGTCTATCTGTTACCCTGAATGGACAATTAGTTTAAATGTTATATGACACCATGCTTGAGCTGACGTCATGACGTCATGTAGGTTCAATGTCTATTACCGATAGATGCAGCGATCAGTCGAAAATGATGGAGCATGACACCACAGAAAATGAAGGGGGAGTAAGAGTAAGAACCAATATCTGCCCCATATGTGAAATCTGAGTATACGCCAATTTCTTCCCTATTTGTGGAACCAGCCACGGATCAGAGTCATACACACATATATATACAAATATAACAAATGGTAATCATGAATGTAAACAAAATCACTGCTCTTACACACCACACATAGATACACTCATGAGTAATATGCAGTCTATAAAAGATATTTCCATTTTAACATTTAACATGTTTTTAGGAATAAGAATGTGAAAACTGCATAACATGATGAATATGACAATACCCTGCTCTTTACAGAAATAATATAATTGCCCAATCCTGCAAAACAGCATTGACCAGAAAAGTTTTCAACATCCTTAATTTAATTTCACAATATATCTTGACACATAATATGCAGCGCCTATAATGCGAAGTGTAATCAGAATTTGCACCTGTCCGTAATCATTTAATAGTCTGCATAATAAAAAAATCTGCCCTACCTACACAGCTTCACACAACTGGGATGCACTGACCGAAACAGACATTATTAATGAGGGCCAGATTATAACCAATGATGAACAGATTTCTAACACTTCTATCCTACATATATCACAAAATATGCAAAGACAGTTTTATTTACTAATATAGAACCAGTCTATTCTTCAGGTTTTATTCTAATTTGGGAAGTTTTACAAACTTTCGCTGCAGACTCAAAGTTTCAGATCAGTTCATTTTCTTGGTCATTGACTGATTGTCATCCAAAGTGTGCCAAAGATATTTTTCAAATGAGTTAAAGATATATTATAGGAGAATGTCTTTTCAAATGTTGAAACCATGAAAATGTCTTCAGGCCATTTGTTTTTCACATATTCACTAAGCCTTGGAACCATATACTGACACTGGAATGCCTAGATAATGCAACATTATAGTGGGATTAAACTAGTCCCAGAGGATAATATTATTCTGTCAATGTATCCGAAAATTCAGATGCTTTCCATGATCTATTTTGGCACTGATGAAAAAGAAGAAGAAGAAATTGATCTAGGTCTTGACGGAAACGTAAAACTTTGAACTAGATTTACTGACACCTACTTGACATAGTCTTGAAATGCATCTTTATCCTGCTTGGCAATCAAACTTGAGGTTTTTTTCTTTATTAAAATACATATGTCAAGTACATGAAATTAACCAAATAGAGTGAATATGGTCAATAATTTGGATCAATAGTCCTGACAACATTGTTTTGGCACATGTGTGGACACATACTGATTATGTCCAATCCATTCAGTCATGTGTCCCAACATGTGAATGTCAAGTACTCAGTTTCACATCATTATCAAGTAGGTAATTAGAAATGTAGAACACTAAAATCTTTTGAATAAAAACTAATACGAGCATTTTAATGATTTACACTTTTGTACACACTCAACAAATTAAGTAAAACCAATCACTGACAGCTGTGGTCTAAACATGTTGAGTCTCATAACGTATCATTTTCCCTTTTGAGGTGAGGATCCACTGCGACACTTTGTTCCAATTATTGAGTGATTCCTCAAAGTATACAGAGAATATTAAGAAGAGAAGGGTTTCAAAATGATGTACTTTATGGGGGGACAGGTCAATGCGCCCTAAATGTTTGACCTCCTACGAGGAAATGAGTGACATCGTCTGCATGTGCGAACTGACAAAAATAGAATGATCTACATCCGCTTTACAAAACAGCTGACATGAACGATGCAAATCGTTAGATTGTGAAATAAAAATTCACCTGTAATACAATAGGAAATAAATTAATGACCTACGATGCCTAATTCTAACGAAAATTTACAAAAGGTTTTGTAAACAAACAATAGAGTGCAAATGACTGCACCGAAAGCACTAAGCAGAGAAATGGGCCGAATTTGACAAAGTGCTCTCTCGTGAAAATGCGGACACTCGATTCTCACCTCACTGAAAAAAGGGTGCTGGCTTCGCTTATGGCATCATTTCTGTTTTACTATATCCCTTCTATTAATGAAAGAGTATTCCAGGGGTTTCCAACATGAATTTTGGCACATAAACCACTGTTCATGAACTTATCTTCCTGTCCAGATTCCTGAACATGCGCAGACGATTCGTGGTACAGTTTCCCAAACGAGGTTATGACCTTTTAGTCTCTAACCAAAGTTTAACTTTGATCGCTTTTCTTGAAAAACGAGAAGTAATATTTATGTATAATGATAATATCTGTTAACGAATCATATGTTTTAGTAGCTAAAATAATTTCACCCTTGAATACAGCTTCTTCTCAAATGGCAAGTTTAAAATTCTTATCAAGGTGAAGGTCAAACTAATAATGTTCTGTGTATAACTTGCTCAAAACACACGGCCCAAATGTCAAATAAACGCCGGTGGTCTCATGGTCCTGTCTATTATAAACGTACTAGACGATATCACGGAAATAGTTTAGTGTAGTGCGTCACATAATATAATCAATTTAGATGAGCTACATATTCTATGTTATTATTTGATTAGACGGGTCTAGTAATTCGAAATCTTGTATATAGATCTAGATCGATTATATCGCGATTGTTATTAGTTATTTTTTACATAGGCCCAGATGTGTTTCATCGTGTAAGTCAAGCATTTCAAAGATAGTTTCACAGGGATGAACACTCACACACACACACACACACACACACACACACACACACAGTCGAGTCCAAATTAACTACCCGGGTACCCACACCCCTAATACCCTACCCTACCCGGGTACCCGCTGTTGGTGTCAAAAGATAGGTACAAAATTTCCGATTGGGAATAGTTTGACAGTAGCCCTGGCAAAATTTATTCAGATACACGTATAAAACGATGCGGTCATGCATACACTGAAGTTGACTGAAGTTTTAGCTTTGTTCAAACATTTATAAGTCATGAAGAAATGCGAACATTAGAAACTTAAAATTGTCGTGTAACCATGTAGTTATATAATGATTTTATGTCATGAAACAATATATCACGTGACTAACCACGGGTCCGGGTAGTCCTGCGGGTACCCGGCCGGGTCCTACTCAGTACCCACCCGACCCGAGTACCCGAGTACCCGAGTTACCCGTCCCAGCCCTAACACACACACACACACACCTAATGGTGCTGATATATTTTTTTCATGCAACAATCATTTAGTCATATGAAAACGAATTATTGACCAAAAAAGACAGATGATAAATAGGGGTGCCTTTTGTCATCACGAGTTAACAAGCTATAGATGCGTTAAAAGTTCCGCATTTGTTGAAGAGAAGTGAAATGGGGTTTAACCTGGAGTTCAAGATTATTGCACTTACACAGGGACGTGCATATTTGACCGTAACCGGACAATGCTTTTGTATTTGAACCAGCTGCACCATGGGGTAAAGCCCCAAGTGATACTTTGACATTAACCACTGCATGGATAAAAACACGAGTAGTAGGAGTATGGTCCAGGCCAACCAAGAATCATTATCGTACGCACTGTGTCTCTGCATTGTAAGCATGTTTGTGTAGTTTATCTTTGTGGTCAAACCTACCTCGAAAATATCATTCCAAGGCCGTCCCCAACTTGTATTTTCAAGATACAAATAAATCCCGCAACTGCACCCCAACCCCCAATGCCGCCCCGGCTGGGTACGGCACTGCATTCTATATTTGTAGTTTGTATGGCATCGGTTTTGATTTCAGTAGAATAATTCATCTTGGATATTACTGATACATCCCAATGGTGATGCTGTTTAATCTGAACGTGGAAGGTTATAAATCTATAACAATAAACCTAAGGTCAACTATATCTGAGTACACACTTTTTAATAGTTTCATATGTCACAACATATAAAAACATAATCATGCTGCTTTGGTTGACATTTACAGAAGGAGTTGTAAGTGTATTTACAATGCTACCGATAGTTGTTGTGTTGCGATGTGTGTCTCTGTGTGTGCGTGTTGTTTAAAGCCGCACTCAGCAATATCCCAGCCATAAGGCGACGGCCTGTATATATTCGAGAGTGGACCAGAAAAAAACACAGCTCGTATAATTTTGTGTAAAAAAAACCCTCAGCCTCCATCTGCTTGAAAAAAACACCAAATATCAACACAGAGTATTTCGTAAGGAATAAACTTCGAGTCGAGACATGTGCATGATAGACAGTATGCCTGTAACACATACCTATTAAAGATCATTTCAAATCTTCCCTTCCATTTCAAGATGCCATATCATGCAAGTGACTGTGTCGTATCCTTGGACAAGATTATCGACTCCACTTGTCCCGCTGTGATATGACTGAAACAGTTGTTGACTGTGATGTGAAATGCCCATTAAGCATCTTACTTGGAAAAAAATACAACATAACATACTTATATTATCAAAAGAAATGTATTATATACCAACATCATTACACGTTATGTCGTGAATGAGGACAAAAGAGTAGGTAAAGCGTCCACAGTTTTGAGGATAGGGTCTATTGTTCGGCATTCTACCAACCATCAAGACTGAAATCATGAAGCTCCCTTTAATCCTTCAGAATGTCACAATTGTATTTCCCTTTAATCCTTCAGAATGTCACAATTGTAGTTCCCTTTAGTCCTTCAGAATATCACAATTTTAGTTCCCTTTAATTCATCAGAATGTCACAATTGTAGTTCCCTTTAATCCTTCAGAATGTCACAATTGTAGTTCCCTTTAATCCTTCATAATGTCACAATTGTAGTTCCCTTTAATCCTTCAGAATGTCACAATTGTAGTTCCCTTTAATCCTCCAGAATGTCACAATTGTATTTCCCTTTAATCCTCCAGAATGTCACAATTGTAGTTCCCTTTAATCCTTCAGAATGTCACAATTGTAGTTCCCTTTAATCCTCCAGAATGCCACAATTGTATTTCCCTTTAATCCTTCAGAATGTCACAATTGTAGTTCCCTTTAATCCTTCAGAATGTCACAACTGTAGTTCCCTTTAATCCAAACTCGACGATGTGAAGATGTAATACGTCTGATCACAAGAAATGGGATTCAACACCATTCTTTTCAGAGGGCCTGTGCACAGGAGCATTTAACTAATAATAATAACAAACTCGCAGGCGAGGCCGAAGGTTGAAAGTGTGTTTGTTATTATTTGAGCACATAATGCCATTTGGAAAATGGTCAAATGTAACAAATGTTGTATTTGGGACAACACTTTCTTAGTAAAGTACAGATTATCGTACTTATTTGGGTTGAGCCCCGTTCGGGATTCAAACCTACGCTGCCAGAGTGAGGCACCTAATCGCCAGCACACAAAGTCAGCGATCTAATCCTCACAGCCACCGATCGAGGCTTTCACAAAAATGAAAGTCCGACAACTGGTACTCTAGATCACGTACTTTGTGTACCCCTCTGACAAGTGTACCGCTCCCATGGCCGAAAGCTATGAACACACAATGTCATTTAGAAAGTGGTCAAATGTACCAAATGTTGTATTTGGGATAACACTTTCTAAGTAAAGTATAAATTCTAGTACTTTTGTGGGTTGAGTCCCGTCCGGGACTCGACTTTGTGTGCTGGCGGTTAGGTGTTACATTTGTTATTATTAGTAGTAACATGGTCCTGTGACCTGAGCGAACTAATCCTTGTCATCTGAGCGACCTAGTTGTTGCCTTAATTTGATGGTCAAGGTGATCCCACAAGAGTACTGCAGGTGAGATATACGTCTGGTGACTTGGTTGGTCAAGGCAAGATGCTGTATTGGGTCTTGTGTTATCTTGTTGAAACAGGGTCTGTCCTGTTCTGTTGCAAGAACGGAAGTACAACAGAGTAGGGAGACTGATCAATGTGAAGCTGCCCAACGATGTTTCCTTCCAAAATCAGCCACTGTGTCTTGACTTGGCTACAGATGCTGAATTGACAGGTGTAATGGTGCCGCGTTGCAGGGTTAATGGTGCTGCATTGAAAAGGCTACAGATGCTGCCACCTCCAAACTGTTCGACATCTGTCAGGAAAGGCTTGAATCTGCTCTCTCCTGTGAACATGACTTTGCCAGTTTCTGTTCTACCAGTGCTGCAGTGTCAGCGTTACGTCTCGTAGTGGTCTGCAAGCTCTGATATTGTACTGACGCAGTCTTCTGGACACTGTCCAGCGACTGACAGGATGATTGTCTCAGCTGATCACGTCACAGTAATAAAATCATTCCTCAGATGGAGGTTTACCCATGTAGCGTTTCCTGGGTGGCGGTGACGGGATGTCTGCCACTCCTAGACCTGTCTGTCTTCCGCCAAGTCTGCATAATTCAGGCCATGCGCCTGATGACAATCATTCGTCAACAGCCAAAACACCTTGTGACGTGGTCATGCGTTGCTTATTAATGTATCATAACAACAGCTTGTTCTTTCTGTTGTAGCGTTAATCTTAGCATGCTACTGTCCTAAGGTTTGGGTGTGAATGCACAGTTGGCATACATCGTTCCTGAGAAAAAAATATCTCAGCCTCAAAAATAAAGAAGAAAAAAACATAACTCTATCCAAAAAGAGGCGCGAAGGGCGAACGCTTTAACCACTATACCACCCCACCGCCCCACATGTATAGTGAGTGCGCCAGGTACACACGTCGAACGGTCTTTTTCGTTCCCAAGGGCAATAACTCCTCTTTTTGAAATTGATATAAGCGACGGTCCAAACCTGTCGCTTACGATCTGGTTCCCGGATCACTGTACCCTGCGCCCACTCGCCCTGCGACAACATAGAGATGAGCCAAGCTAAAACCTTACCCTGTTGCACCTTCATTCCAAAACGATCGTTTATAACTGAATATTTTTTAACTAACACGTAGTTTGTTGTGATTATTAGTTTAGAATATCAACATTTGTGTTGCGTGTTCAACTAAAACACGAATCCCCACGATGGAAGATAGCGGGGAAACAAAATAAAAACGTTCTTTTCCCACGGCATTTTCCAAGTGTGAGTGTATGAGGGATTCTGTCAGTCTGGGCAAAGACGTATATAGATCTTTGTATATACGTCTTTCGTCTGGGGTAACATCATTCGTCACCACTCGCCCTCCACATTCGGCTTGTCCCGGAATATAACACTAGTTGGTCACGAATGGACCGGCCGGGTCAGCGCACCTCGCGGGTAAATGAGGGGAAGATAAATTGACAAAGCTCGCCCATTTAACGAGTGCCTTTGGTGGATCTCATTTCGCACGGGGTGTTATGTTGACCATTTAACGAACGCATCTCACGAATGTATTTCACATGAATTATTTTCCCTTCCGTAATGCTATATAGCCTTAAATGGAGAAATTCTAGATTTAAATGTAGTTGGCTGTGTCTATCAAAATTAAAGATTTTCAGAGACAAAGCGTTTAAAGTCTCAATGGGCAGCTGTTTATATATATATAATGTGTCTAACCCCGTACACCAAACATTGAATCCGATCTTTTCGGATATCTATACGTTATTGGTCACAATAACAAGAACAGCGAAGGTAATAACCCCCAACGAGCAATAAAACGGTGAAATTGTATATTTGGTCCTGGTGAAAATTAATCTGGTTCCTTGTGAAAATTAATCTGGGACCTAATTTACCCAGGAAGCAAAAAAACTAATAACATTTATTGAGCTATTTGTCATATAATGGACAGTCGATGCAATAAATCAAGCCGATAAACTTGGTATCACGATCCGATGCATATGCAAATTAGGCAATCAAGCCGTAATACACTTCGTAAGGTCCATACATTAACCGGATGCCTACTTGCTCCTTAAAGGGGCACTGACCTAAAGCAATTCCCCCGGGACTGGTTGTTGCCTTTGTTATTGTTTTCCCCCTGAGTACCCGGATGATATAGCAGAAACCTAGACTAGACTAGACAATTCGTAAGCGCATTTGTCACTTTTATTGATAGTATAAGGGCGTATGGTCACATCTATCAACAAAAGGAAATACAGTTTTGGAAATAATAAGGAAATGTAGGTATTTTTGTGGGTAGCATCGGATATGGTGACGAACTTTTGATAAGTCACTTGCTTGGTTGCAACACACAAAAATATTTCTCCTGAGCATTTCTTTTTTTATCGTGTTTGTAATTTTTACAGTCACTTAGGAAAGTTATTAAAAGCCTGAATATTCAGTTATTTTACAAACTGACTGGAAAATATGTCCATCTGTATTATAATAATAACGAATTCCAAACATTTTTCTGTTTAATATCATCACCAAGAGACTGAAAATGTTACGATGAAAAGTACATTTCTATATTGTTTGGCTTCTAATCCTACATAATAATCTAATGTGATGTTTATAGGCCCTTTTGATCGTCTTAATCAGTTTTAATCAATCTGTTAAAGAAATGGACAGATTTTTCAGTCAAAATGACTGAAATATTTACACATTTAATAAATTGTCTGAGAGAATCACATTTTACAAATTGACTTTAAGAATTTCCTAACCAAGACGTAGAGGAACAGGAATGAATCTGTCCAATCCTACAGCAAATGAAGGAAAACAAAATGCAAATATCAGAAACTAATTCGATGTCACGTGTCTCTGTAACAATCAAATATTTTTAAAAATATATTTCGTTTCGGGATATTATAACCCGAACACTGGGGTTCCTATACTATTTAACGCCCGGGAACGTCCGGGAGGTTTCATCAGACGTCCGGACACGTCCGGGAGTTTAAAAATACAGTGCAGTCAATAAAACATGTCTTTCTCAGTTTGGTAAGATCGTGAGAATATCAACTGGCGTAAGTGTTTGCCATCTGCAGCGGCCAGAAAATGAAAGTACCAGTAACCGGAAGTTTGATGAAAACTCCCGGACGTTTCCGGACGTCTGATGAAACCTCCCGGACGCTCCCACCAGATGCTCCCCGACGATGCCCGGACGCTATAGTACCGGACGTTTTACACGCAGTGAACCATTCCTGGGCCACGCATGAACTTTTGAAAACGTCTGTGTTTCAGTATTAGTTATGGAATAGTATACAGAATATGACACTATAAAAGAACATTATTTTAAGCAAATTTACATTGTATCCTTCAAAGCCTACGTTACGAATTCCTCGTCAGTTCGAATAAAATCAAATCGTATTTGCTTCGCAGATTCACCATTTAAAAAGAATAGGGGTGTATGTAATTTGTTTCCAGCTGTATGTTATTTTGTATAATTAATACAAGAACACAATTATATAGAGTACACTTTATTATTTAGTATCATTCTCCCGGACGTTTCCGGACGCCCCGGGCGTTATTTAGTAGGACCGGTGTTCGTTTCTCATCTGATCACTGAGATTGTTTCAGGTGTTTCACATAGGTGTCATGTCTGAAAGGTCGGCTGAGAAAGCCCACGTGACAACTATTTTCATAACGTCCACGGTTCCTAAAAAAATCCATTGAGTTAGATAACAATGAGCAATCAATGAATATATTATCGGTTAACCCTTTGAACAAAGTATGTTGTTTTTACATCGGCACTTCACGCCATGATATGAGTGCATTCCCTTTGTTTTAGTAAACCTAGACATGTAAACACTCACTTTTGACATATCCACTGTGCAAGATAACAGTGATTAATCAATCAATGTATTTTCTGTTAATCCTTTGATGACTAGGAACGATCCGTTGATTTACAAAAAGGTTAATCAACTGATCATTCATCTCTTGCTGGGCTGCCACGTGCATATTATACATAACACACATTTCACCTCACTTGAAACCTGGATTTAGATTGAATAATTACCCCAGACACAATAAATGTCAAATGGGAACCTTTGTCAGGTATTCTGAGCGGTGCTACCACTAATTATACCTGTAATAAATTCATTAACTGAGCATCAAGTGAATGACGACAGGTACACACAAGTGTAGGGTTATACGAGAAAACGTGGATGACAACAAGGGAGTAGTAATCGTATTATCGACGCAATCCGAAATCGCTTTCACTGCATGGATATTTTTTTTTTTTAAACTATAACAATCATATAACTATTTCCAAATGACGGCATCCGATGAGCTTCTTTTTGTCTGTTTGTTTAGGCTGAAGAAATTAATTAACATGCGCCCTTTGTCGAAATCTTTATAGATCACGGTTAACCAATCAGTGTTCAAAAATGAATAAAACAATTATTGCCTCCAAGTTTATTCAGCTGTGCTTGCAGACGGTAGCCCAGTCTTTGTCACGCTCAGTTGCGTTGCGTATCATCCGGGTACTCACGAGGAAAAAACAATAACAAAAGCAACCACCAGTCCCGGGGAATTGCTTTAGATCAGTGTCCCTTTAAATCTTTTGCATACAGTTCCCAAAAGGTTTTCGGATGTATGGCGCTTGTTGTGAATAGGGCGGTTTTCCTGTATCATACATATCAAATATTAGGAATAAAAAGCATGTATTATGCTCGCCAAAGACTCGCATAGTACAATTTTCATTCCAAATATGTATATATACGGTACGAAAACACACTGGATGATAATATTTATATATTTCTGTCACCTTAATGGATTGATGATCTTTCCTGTCTTAATACGAAACATGCAATCCAAAGTACGGACGACCTTGGAGATTCTAGTTAGGCCGGATAAAAAAAGGAATTCTTGTTTCCAGAGACGATAACATATATTGCATGGTCTCTATTGTTTCTTATCACTCTTACTAATCAAACTTTAGGTCTAAATTCAATATTTTATCGTCGATTTCCCAACCACTCTAACCTAATTTCATAATTGTACCTAATGAAAACAGTGATGGGAGAAGTTGAGAGTATGTTTATTTGGTTTTCATTAGAGACTAAATCACGCACGCCATTGCTGGCGGTTTAAACAAAATGTGCAACTTCAGAATGAAAATTTACTCCAAAACTGCATAACCGGAATTTAGCCGCGTATGAATACAATATTGTGAGTGAATAGCCCCGTTTATCAGAGAGTGTCTAAGGATTTGCATCTATGTTTGTCTTCTGAAACACCCACGCATCGGGAACCCCCCGAATAAATGTATTTGAGAAGTCTGACAATAATGTATTGATCAAGCAGACATTGCATCGATGGATGAGGCTGAAAGGAAGTTCCTGTTCGGTGACCACATGTGTATATTCCTCCTATCGTAATACCATGTTTATCGGATTGGTTTGTGGTATCGACAACAGTGTCCATTGTATGCTAAATGCACCAATCGCGAAAGGCATTGTTATAAAAACTGCAACCGATCGCAAATATGCGAATGGTCTCTTCTTAACATCAGAGGCCAGCTCCATTGCCATTTACACCGGAGAACAACATATACAAATTAGAATAAAGTATAACCGACTCCATAGACGTTTCCAAACTAATTCGAACACAGGCACATCCCGATTATTCCTATTTTTTATTACGACTGAAACGGGTGTTTAAGCATGTTAAGAATCCTAGCTTTGACGTCTACTTAAGACTATATCCATATATAGACTCGGTCACAAATATCTTGTGCTTTCTATATCAGTCAATGGTGGCAGCGTAACAACAAGTATCATCTTTTAACGTCTTTTGGTATGACCTGAGACCATCGGTATATGGTCTCTGGTATGACGCGGCCGGGGATAAAACCCCCGACCTTAGAATTCAAGTGCAGAATTCTGTATGTATGCAGTGGTGACTTGAATGTGTAGGTACAATTCGGACTTTAAGTCTAGTTATTTAACGATATGTCAGCATTTGTTTGTTTAAAGCATCAAAATGATCACATTCCGTATCTGTTTGTAAGTATACAAAACCATCATCCAGAAATGTCATTTAAAACTGAAACTTTCGTCCCGAATGTACCAAAGTGACCGTATAAAACTAACCCGTACAGTCCACGCATCTAGCCAACACCTGCACACCTGCATGGTGTAATTATCCGGTCCACAACCTGCGTTGATCACACCTGTAATTGGCATTCACTGTCATAAACTAATTAAGACTATATGCCTGTTTTTACAACTGATTGGGCATTGTTCTTTCAAAGGGAATGACGTACGTGCCAAATACTCACCACGAAATAGATTGGCTCTGTTGAAGGGGAAAATGATCAAGATGTGGAGAAAGGCCAAGATGTGGAGAAAGGCCAAGATGTGGAGAAAGGCCAGGATGTGGAGAAAGGCCAAGATGTGGAGAAAGGCCAAGATGTGGAGAAAGGCCAGGATGTGGAGAAAGGCCAAGATGTGGAGAAAGGCCAGGATGTGGAGAAAGGCCAGGATGTGGAGAAAGGCCAAGATGTGGAGAAAGGAAAAGAAGGGGAGAAAGGAAAAGATGTGAAGAAAGGCCAAGATGTGAAAAAGGCCAAGATGTGGAGAAAGGCCAGGATGTGGAGAAAAGCCAGGATGTGGAGAAAGGCCAAGATGTGGAGAAAGGCCAAGATGTGGAGAAAAGGCCAAGATGTGGAGAAAGGCCAAGATGTGGAGAAAGGCCAGGATGTGGAGAAAGGCCAGGATGTGGAGAAAGGCCAGGATGTGGAGAAAGGCCAGGATGTGGAGAAAGGCCAAGATGTGGAGAAAGGCCAGGATGTGGAGAAAGGCCAGGATGTGGAGAAAGGCCAAGATGTGGAGAAAGGCCAAGATGTGGAGAAAGGCCAGGATGTGGAGAAAGGCCAGGATGTGGAGAAAGGCCAAGATGTGGAGAAAGGCCAGGATGTGGAGAAAGGCCAGGATGTGGAGAAAGGCCAAGATGTGGAGAAAGGCCAAGATGTGGAGAAAGGCCAGGATGTGGAGAAAGGCCAGGATGTGGAGAAAGGCCAAGATGTGGAGAAAGGAAAAGAAGGGGAGAAAGGAAAAGATGTGAAGAAAGGTCAAGTCGTGCGAGACTGCGACACTGTCTCTGTGTATTAGGCATATCATTAACTGCAAGATTGATATATAAACTGACGAGCAAAAGAAACTATACCTCACATTTGATTTTATCATAAGTTTGATTTTCAGTTCGCGATATAATGTCCCAAAAGAACTGCACTGGCGCTAAGTAGAATACTTCTACGTGTTTTGTTTTTTTTCAAAATTATAATTTAAATTAAAACGTATAAAAATTTATTTTTTTTAAATCGCATAATACACTGTACATTTCTTACCCTATTATTCAATGACCAATTTATTTTTACACAGAATTACCAAGCAACTGATTATTTTTCGGAAACTGTTCTTGGAATCAGTGATGATTAAAAAGATACAATCAAATTTAACAACAGTTCTTTCCATTTTTAATTACGTAAAAGACTGTGCGCTGTAATGAACTATAGAAGCACATGTTGCATGTTTGACAGTACTCTGTCTATTTAAGGAACCTCTAAATCCACGAACAACCCCTAGTAGCCGCCTGAAGTGACATATACCTGACGTTAACTGAATCTATATATACCGTGATGTTAACTCTGTGTGATACCTGAAGCAATATATACCGTTATGTTAACTCTGTGTAACACCTGAATCGATATATACCGTGATGTTAACTCTGTGTAACACCTGAATCGATATATACCGTGATGTTAACTCCGTGTGACACCTGAAGCAGTCTATACCGTGATGTTAACTCTGTGTAACACCTGAAGTGATATATACCGTGATGTTAACTCTGTGTGACACGTGAAGCAATATATACCGTGATGTTAACTCTGTGTGACACCTAAAGCGATATATACCGTGATGTTAACTCCGTGTGACACCTGAAGCGATATATACCTGATGTTAACTCTGTGTGACACCTGAAGCAATATATACCGTTATGTTAACTCTGTGTGACACCTAAAGCGATATATACCGTGATGTTAACTCTGTGTGACACGTGAAGCAATATATACCGTGATGTTAACTCCGTGTGACACCTGAAGCAATCTATACCGTTATGTTCACTCTGTGTAACACCTGAAGTGATATATACCGTGATGTTAACTCTGTGTAACACCTGAAGCGATATATACCGTAATGTTAACTCTGTGTAACACCTAAAGCGATATATACCGTGATGTTAACTCTGTGTGACACCTAAAGCGATATATACCGTGATGTTAACTCTGTGTAACACCTGAATCGATATATACCGTGATGTTAACTCTGTGTGACACCTAAAGCGATCTATACCGTGATGTTAACTCTGTGTGACACCTGAAGCAATATATACCGTGTTGTTAACTCTGTGTGACACCTAAAGCGATCTATACCGTGATGTTTACTCCGTGTGAAACCTGAAGCAATCTATACCGTGATGTTAACTCTGTGTAACACCTGAAGTGATATATACCGTGATGTTAATTCTGTGTGATACCTGAATCAATATATACCGTGATGTTAACTCTGTGTGACACCTTAAGCGATATATACCATTATGTTAACTCTGTGACACGTGAAGCAATATATACCGTTATGTTAACTCTATGTGACACCTAAAGCGATATATACGTGATGTTAACTCTGTGTGACACCTAAAGCGATTTGGGGGCACGGGTGGCCCAGTCGTCTAAGGCGCCGCGATTCGCTGTGCAGAGTTGCGTCCCTTGGGCACGCCAGAAACCTATGATTGTAGGTTCGAATCCCGGTTCGCCCCGATTATGCTTCTAGGTTTGTTAGCACCATACCCGTGCTCGTGGGTTTCACCGAAGTGGTAAACGTCTGAGACCTGCATCACTTCGGGCTTTCCTCTCACATTATGCTGACACGCCGTGATATAACTGGAAAACTGTTAAAAGCGGCGTTAAACCAAACTCACTCACACTCACTCACCTAAAGCGATCTATACCGTGATGTTAACTCCTTGTGACACCTGAAGCAATCTATACCGTGAAGTTAACTCTGTGTAACACCTGAAGTGATATATACTGTTAAGTTAACTCTGTGTAACACCTGAAGCGATATATACCGTGATGTTAACTCTGTGTGACACGTGAAGCAATATATACCGTGATGTTAACTCTGTGACACGTGAAGCAATATATACCGTTATGATAACTCTGTGTAACACCTAAAGCGATATATACCGTGATGTTAACTCTGTGTGATACCTGAAGCAATATATACCGTGATGTTAACTCTGTGTAACACCTGAATCGATATATACCGTGATGTTAACTCCGTGTGACACCTGAAGCAGTCTATACCGTGATGTTAACTCTGTGTAACACCTGAAGTGATATATACCGTGATGTTAACTCTGTGTAACACCTGAAGCGATATATACCGTTATGTTAACTCTGTGTGACACCTAAAGCGATATATACCGTGATGTTAACTCTGTGTGATACCTGAAGCAATATATACCGTGATGTTAACTCCGTGTGACACCTGAAGCAATCTATACCGTTATGTTCACTCTGTGTAACACCTGAAGTGATATATACTGTGATGTTAACTCTGTGTAACACCTGAAGCGATATATACCGTAATGTTAACTCTGTGTAACACCTAAAGCGATATATACCGTTATGTTAACTCTGTGTGACACCTAAAGCGATATATACCGTGATGTTAACTCTGTGTGATACCTGAAGCAATATATACCGTGATGTTAACTCCGTGTGACACCTGAAGCAGTCTATACCGTTATGTTCACTCTGTGTAACACCTGAAGTGATATATACCGTGATGTTAACTCTGTGTAACAAATGAAGCAATATACACCGTGATGTTAACTCTGTGTGACACCTAAAGCGATATATACCGTAATGTTAACTCTGTGTGACACCTAAAGCGATATATACCGTGATGTTAACTCTGTGTGACACCTGAAGCGATATATACCGTAATGTTAACTCTGTGTGACTGCTGAAGCGATATATACCTGATGTTAACTCCATCTGACACCTGAAGCGATATATACATGATGTTAACTCTGTGTGACACCTGAAGCGATATATACCTGATGTTAATTCTGTGTGACTCCTGAAGCGATATATACCTGATGTTAACTCCATCTGACACCTGAAGCGATATATACATGATGTTAACTCTGTGTGACACATGAAGCGATAGAGTGTATTGAACGAATGGGAGTAGCAGTACTTTCTGATAGAGTGTATTGAACGAATGAGTGTAGAAGCACTTTTTCATAGAGTGTATTGAACGAATGAGTGTAGGAACTTTTTCATAGAGTGTATTGAACGAATGAGTGTAGCAGTACTTTCTGATAGCGTATTGAACGAATGAGTGTAGCAGTACCTTCTGATTGAGTAGATTGAACGAATGAGTGTTGCAGTACTTTTTCATAGAGTGTATTGGACGAATGAGTGTAGAAGCACTTTTTGATAGTGTATTGAACGAATGAGTGTAGGAACTTTTTGATAGAGTGTATTGAACGAATGAGTGTAGCAGTACTGTCTGATAGAGAGGATTGAACGAATGAGTGTAGCAGTACTTTCTGATAGAGTGGATTGAACGAATGAGTATAGCAGTACTTTTTGATAGAGTGTATTGAACGAATGAGTGTAGCAGTACTTTCTGATAGAGTGTATTGAACGAATGAGTGTAGAAGCACTTTCTGATAGAGTGTATTGAACGAATGAGTGTTGCAGTATTTTCTGATAGAGTGTATTGAACGAATGAGTGTAGAAGCACTTTTTTATAGTGTATTAAATGGATGAGTGCAGCAGTACTTTCTGATAGAGCGGATTGAACGAATGAGTGTAGCAGTACTTTTTGATAGAGTGTTTTGAACGAATGAGTGTAGAAGTACTTTCTGATAGAGTGTATTGAACGAATGAGCGTAGCAGTACTTTCTGATTGAGTGTATTGAACGAATGTGTACAAGCACTTTCTGATAGAGTGTATTGAACGAATGAGTGTTGCAGTACTTTCTGATAGTGTATTGAACGAATGAGAGTAGAAGCCCTTTATGATAGTGTATTGAACGAATGAGTGTACAAGCACTTTCTGATAGAGAGGATTGAACGAATGAGTGCTGCAGTACTTTCTGATAGTGTATTGAACGAATGAGTGTAGAAGCACTTTTTGATAGTGTATTGAACGAATGAGTGTAGAAGCACTTTTTGATAGTGTATTGAACGAATGAGTGTAGAAGCACTTTCTGATAGAGCGTATTGAACGAATGAGTGTAGCAGTACTTTCTGATAGAGTGTATTGAACGAATGAGTGTAGCAGTACTTTTTGAGAGTGTATTGAACGAATACATAGAGTGATATAAACATTCATTGATGATTGGTCAGTTGACTTAATATGACGTCACATGCTCTATTGTTGAGAACAATATGATATGACATCCTCGATTATTAATGACGCCTTAAATTGCAAGAATGGCCTCTTTAAAGTGACAATCCGACACACAGGGGAAAGCCACTTAAAATCTCACTCATCTATTTAGGATATTAACATTGTGACAGCGAGGGTTATAGCTGCATAGTATTGTATCTTACACTGCGGTCTAAGCCATTTTGGACCAGACATCCAGTGATTGACATCATGAGTATTGATCTACGCAATTGGGATACGACGACATGAATCAACCAAGTCAGTGAGCCTGACCAGACGATCCCGTTAAACCTCTTACGACAAAAATGGGTTGCTAAATTCTAACCCGGATTTTCACGGATGTTGTGGTCTAAGCATTATGTTCAAGACCCAAAGAAGTGGATTTGTAATTGCCAATTGTATTTTTGGTGATGAGATCCTGTATGTATCGGTACTTATAAAATCGATACCTCACTCGAATGAAATAGTGAGTGAGTGAGTGAGCTTGGTTTATCGCTGCTTTTAACAGTATTCCAGTTAATAACGGTCTGTCAGCTTAATGTGGGAGGAAAGCCCGAAGTGATGCAGGTCTCAGACGTTTACCACTTTGGTCAAACCCATGAACACGGGTGTGGTGCTGACAGACCTAGAAACATAATCGG